CGGTAGCAGCAGCAGAAGCAGAAGCAAAAGTAGCAGGCGGCAGGAGCAGGAGCCACTCCCCTGTGCATCATGCATGCTGCTATGCCTGCAATGTTTGCCTCCTGCGACTGCACGAACCACACCCGGTTCTCACTTGCCTGAGCAAAAATATTCCAGATTCCCATCTCCAGGGACGTGCGACTGTGCCCCAGGCCAGGATGATCTTCTCCTTCTCTTGCGGAAGGACACCGGCCGTGAAGATGATCAGAGGGTACTCCCATCCAGCGAGCCTCTCAAGCCGGGACTCTCCGCGGCTTTCCATCGCGGCTTTCCATCGGCCTGTCTGAGGCCGTGGCGCATTGAGCTTTCGGAGATTTGTGAGGAAGGCCTGCAGCTGCTTCGGGCTCCGGTGCAAAAAAAGGGAACCGTGCTTTTGCGCCTCCAGGGTCTCGGAGCGCCGGTCCAGCCTGGCGCCAGAGAGGATGTTAGCTGTGGCTGCTTCGGGCGGCCCGACTGCGACCGCAACAGCTGGCCATGACCAAACGAAAGCGAAGTGTCTGCAGTTTATAGCAGCTATAGCATCGATCTCAAGGGTGACGATGGATAAGCAAGCAGCACTCGCCAGCAATGCACTGGGAGCCAGACACATAAACCAGTGCTCCGCGAAACGGCCTCTCCTGATCCAGGTGAGCTTGTGAGGCCTATCAAATCTCCCGTGCAAACTTCAGCAACAACTTCTGTGCAAGGTCAACAATTCATAAATCTCACCGTTCTCCAGCAAGCACCTTGTCTCGCTCGCCCTGGTCCACAATATAACAGTCGCTCCCGCGGAAAGGAGGCAGGCAAGCGCATGCCGACCTGCCATGCTTGCGGTGTCTGACATACACTTCTAGGATCATCAGTCATCAGCTAAACACGACACCAACCGCACAAAACATGTTCGCTCTTCGCGTTCATCTGTCGATCGTGCATCTGCACACATCGCAGTCAAAGCGCGGCAGGAATGCTGCAGCTGGTGCTGGCCTGAGCCGGGATAGCACCCTACTGCAACCTTTCGCACACGGGGCTTTAGATCAGTACAAGTGCTGGCCATGACATGATATCTTATGGTATAGTATATTGTAGTATCTTCTGTCGTATTCACTTCGTTTCTTGTAGTAGAGTTTAGAATACTGTAGTATCCGCCGCTTGTGGGGGCGAGCGCCGGGGTGTACCTCCTTTCAGCTAGCAATGACCATTTCCANNNNAGACCCATAGGTAGAACCCTAGGAATAACTCACCTGAAGACCCAAAACCATAACAACCTATACCTCAACCCCACCCTCACCAAAAAACCCATACAATATTCCTAGGATGGAACCACCAGCTGGCTCCCACTTGCCCCGCTTGTCCCACTTGCTGGTACGGGCTGGGGCTCGCCCTGCTTGCCCCACTGGAATTTTCCTTTTAGTGGGGCTCGCCCCAGTTGTCCCATTTGCAGCGAATGCCCACCTTGCTGTAACCGACATTCCTGCAACCCTAAACCTTAAACCCTAAAATCCCTGATGCCGAAAACTTCCAAACTCTAAACCCTAAAAACCTAAAAACCTAAAACCCTAAACCCTACAAAACCCTACCAGTAACTCCCTAAGGCCCACCTTCAGCTCATAGCCGTCATCTACATCTGTATCTCAAACACAAGTGGGGCAACTGGGGCGATGAACGTTAGCGCTTTTAGTGGGCGTGCGCAACGTGACCCATAGTAGACCATGGAACAATGCAAACGGCTCTTTTGTAACCGTCCTGTCAGAAGCGCACTGTAACAGAGTGATAACATGCGACCATGCACTGGGCACCTTTTTCACAGTCTTGGAAGGTTCGGGTCACTCTTCATGGACGAGGCGTGAATCTTCGTGGCACCTTGCCACAGCCGCTGGACGACTGTGCAAGGAGGGCAGTTGGCCATGCAGTGTCATCTGCTACGTCCGAACTTGAAAAGGGTGTGCTCGTCATCACATCCTTCAAAGTGCTTCGTCTCAAGGTGCAATTGGTAGAATCCCAAGGTCTCCATCTCTTGGAAAAACAGTGGCAAGAGTCTCACACCATTTTGAGAGCGCTCAGCGTTCTCGCAGGCGCAGAACACACCTCCTGGCTTCAGGACTTCAAGCAGCAACTTCGGCAGCCTTTCCTTGGAGACCAGAGCTCCCGCCAACAAGACCAGAACACTGCCTGTATTGCCTGCGTTGCCTGCGTCCAAGCTTCTACAGCTGGCTTTTGGTAGATCACCTCGCAACGAGACTTGCTTTTCCGCTGGCCACGTTATCGCCTTCAATGCCTGGCACTTTGTCTGCCTCGCTGGCCAAAGCCACGTCGTAGCGATCAAGTGCGTCCGGCGCCTGCAAGCTTAACTGCCCCGAATCGCCCGGTTGAGGACAGTATTGCACAGAAGCACCTCCCAATCGAGGGATCTCACCGTCACATTCTTTAAGCCGTTCTCCTTCCGAGCCATGCCGTTCTTAATCAACAGATGCAGATTTGTCCGCTCCTCCGCGCTCATCGTCAGCGCCTTCTGAACAGCCTTGCAGCGATCGCTCAGATCCACCTTCAAAACTTCAGAAGGTGATGTCCCGTGACTCCAGTGCTCCAAAGCCCGGAGGAGCAAGAGGAAGAGCCGGTCGCCTCTTTGGCCCCAAGAGCAGCTGCTGCCAGGCCGCACAGCCCTGGCCCGGCACCCACCTCATGCGGAACATGCGGAGGGCGGAGGAGTCCGAAAGAAGCCGACCAGTTCCCTCCTCTCCCCTTTTTGTAGCCTCCAAGACTCTTCGGCCCACGAGAAAGCTGGGTTCAGACACCATCCAGGACGTCAGCAATTGGGCCCCGGGCCACACCCTCCAGCCATGGCTCGACAAGATTTCTGCCTCCCTGGCTTCGCTGAGCTTCACTTTTAAGCTCAGAGTTCCCCGCTCTCCATAGGCAAAGTTCACCCAGTGGTTCTGCTCCCGAGTACAGTCTCCCAGCTCCTTGGACAGCTCTTCTGCCAAGGCGGACAGCTCTGTTCGCTCGAAGAAGTGCAGTGCCTTGAGAGCAGAAGGAGCCGACGAAGCTTTGATCACGTTTCGATTGCCCTCGCTGCGCATGAGAGCGAGCAGACCCTGTGCGGCAGCCTCAGCAACCGCCACTTTTGAGCTGCGAAGGCCCTGGATCAGGAAATGGAGCAGCTCGGAGCCATCCTCCGACAGATCTCCTCCCTCCAAAAGCTCTTGGACGACGTTCCGGATCGCTTCCTCTGACATTCTCTCTTCTATAAGATTTCTATAAGAAGAAAGCCGAGCCGAGACTGCGGGCTTCCAAGAGATCTCGTGCCCGGATGGATCTCGGCGGGTTTGGGAACCTCTGGGCACCTGGGGGCACCTGGGGGCCCGCACACCAGGCAGCGTTTGCTCTTGGCTGCATGTCCATGGCCTGCGATTCTGAGGCTTATGAGGTCGACTCGACAAACGCACGGAGCATCGCCACATTCACATTCGAGAATACTGGTGCTTGCACCTACACCTGAAACATTCGAGCAGCATGAATTCCAGTCATGCACCACCTTGCATTGCCGAACACCTTTCCCCTTTCAGAATTTCAGATGCTCCACAACTTGTGGTCACATCTTCAGATGTGCAGCCGTACTACTACAGTCCGCCTTCCGCGCCTCCGCAGATGCCACCCCCTTTCCTGCGCTGGCAGTCCCACGCAGTAGCCTCAATCTTCTTTGCGTGGCCTGTGCGGAGCAGATCGAGCAGCAGTGACCGCGCAGCCACTTGGAAAACAGTGCTGCGAGCACGGTACACACAAAGCCACACCTGCATCGCCATGCTTCTGGAAGTGCTTGGCAGCTCCTGAGCAAAATGGCAAGTTGGAGATCGTCGATCACTGGCACTTGCCAAGGACAGTTGACACCATCTGGTGCTGCAACCACAGTGCTGCACTTGTCTGTGCCCCATAGTCCTCCTCGCACACGTCTTTGCCTGTGTAGCTCCCGGATATCCTGGATCAATTGAGCAAAAGACGAGGAAAGCCCACGGGAGTTTTGTCGAAACCAATCATGGGAGAAGTGCAGACCCTGCAGTAAACATGCAAGACCGACAAGTGCCCTTCCGCCGCGAGAAACTCCCTGAAGGACCTGCGCACAATGGATCATGTGACTTGGGAGATGCATGCTCCTTATATAAGTCAAAGCGAATATAGCTAGAATTACAAGCAGATATCAGAAACTGCACACTTTCAGGCAGCAGCCACCTGTGGATCCCAGTCTCGTCCCGGAGGGCCTTGAACAGCCGAGACCTTTCTGGGACGGCCCAGCAGGCTCTGGACCTGGGAAGCCAAAAAACCCTTGAAAAGAACTTCCTGGTTTGGTGGATTACACAGCTTCCGGCTCAGCCAGGTCGCATCGAAGCCAACACCCACCTCGAGCGGGATGTGCGAGATAAGACATATGGGACAACCGTCTAGAACACTTTACACCACTCAAACAACTGCGGGCAAACTCGTCAGCGTCTGCTCCAACCCGGTCAAGTTTGAAGCTTCTTCTGTCTTTCCCTACTGCCTTTTTGTCTTTGTGCAGGTGCCGTGACCATGGTGTCCGTGCCTCCAAGTGGTCCATGTACCGAGAGTAGGGCGAGCAATACCAGCCTTGTCGGGCGACACTGCGAGGCAGCGCCAAGTCTCAAGGCAGCAAAGCGCTCTTCCGACATGATTCAAAGAAGCTATTGTGAGGCGTCTGTTGTTGAAAGAACAGGGCACTGCCTTGACGCCACACTTCAAAGGTAGATGGTGTGGTGCCTGCCCGAGTGCAAAGCCGTTAGGGCTTCTACCTACTTCAAGCGTCCTAGTGACAACTGCCATCGGCCCCTTTTGGCGCAGGCCTGGCTGACCAAGATGCTGCCGCACCAACGACACCATTCGCTGGTGAACAAGCACCTAGCGGGCAGCACGGTTCTGCCCGCTCCACAGCTTGTGGCCACAGATGTCCATCTTGATGCCACATGGGGACCAGGCTGCAACAAAGTGCTCAAGAAACAAGAGCTCATAGCCTTGGCCAAAGGGGGGCGTTCCTTTTGCAGAGGTGGGCATCGGCAGCTTCCAGCCCAAGGCGTCGGCCCAGCGGCTGCAAGAGCTTGGCAACCGTTTCAAGCGAGCACCTGGACTCTCACAACGACGCTCATCCCATTCTGGAATGCACATCTAGGGCAGGAAGCGACTGAGCGAAGGGCTGCGCAGCAATGTACCTTCGAAATGCCTGAAGGTTGCTGATGAATCGATCCATACCAACCTGCAACAACGTCCGCAGCGCGTCCGGATCATGCAGCTTGTGTGAAATCTGGAAGCCGCACTCTCCGAGCCGCTTTGGACTTGCGCCGGTGCCAGATGTAGAAGTGCGTGAAGTTTGGCATCACCTCTGCATCGCAGCTGCGATCATGCCAACATTAGCTAACTCTCCAAGCGGAGCATCTTGCCTCCAGCGGCGGAGGAATGGTTGGATTCACGGGCACGTACACGATGCTCGCCGTGCTGATGCTGTCGGCCTGCAGAGCTTTGCTTTCGCACAGAATCCGATGCAACAAGCCCTCTGAAATTTCTGGTACACCTCTTTCGGAAGCACCTCTCCTGCGGAGTAGGAGCCGTGATGCAAAAAGCCGGTAAAGCTACTCTGGTGCCTTGTCCCCATGTCTAGCCAAGGTAGCAACTATGGCCGGTCGAAGCCGAAATGCATAGCTCTGAAGGCTCCTTCCCGGCCCTAATGCGCCTCTACGCAGAAACACGCTTTGGGGCTGAGCCTGCAGGATCTGCCATATCGTCCGGCAATTTCCCGCCATTGGGTTCAGCGATCTGTCAGCGTTTCAAGCGACGGATTTTCGAAGCATGCTCGTAAAACGCATCCTGCATGCCCAGCTGCCCCTGCCGGGATAGTTATGGAATCTTCAGCCCCAAACATGGCAGGAGAACATAAGGTCGTAGGGGTCAGGAGGCGGCATGATCGGATCCATTGTTGACTGCCACACGGGCTGCTCCTTGCACGCTCAGATTCAGATGATATCATTGCATTGACATCAGAGCCGGTCCATCTCTCCGATTTCTGGATGCCTGTTCAAAGGTCTCGGTGATTCATAAAATGTCTATCTGTGTCTGTCTGTGTGTGTGTGTGTGTAACTGTAAACCAGGAGCAGCTGTGTTTGCCATGGAAGTGGATGACCAATGCGCTGTCTTTGCGGGATGGAGACCTTTAGCCTTTAATTTACTTTAAAACTTAAAACTGAGTCAAGCCGATGAGACGAAGAGTTTCAGTCGCTCCTTGGACCGCTGCCCCGACCAGGCCTCGGCGCTGTCTTTGTCAAGATGCATTTAAAGCTTCCACGACCTAATCTGGTGATCTAGTGCCGTACGGCAGCTTTGAAGATTCTGCCAGTTTCACACCATGGTTCCGACGACGATCACACATGAACACTGCGTGCTTCTTAGAGTGCTTCTTTACTTTGCAGCGGCTTTTGCTTCAGACTCCATCACGCCAAGGTGGTCACTCGCCCAATCCATCTGACGTAGAGAGGGTCGTCAATCTCCGGGTCCATGGTGAGAAAATAGATCTGCGGAGGCGGTGGGCACACTTCGCCGGACACAGTCGGCAACGCCACAAGAAGGATGCTTAGGAAGCTCACGTCTCCCCAGCTTGCGCCGTATTTCTGCCTACGACTCATGACCTATAGCCTAGGGTATCATAATATATGTAGACCTCTTCGGAGTATTCCTCCCCAGGCCCTGAGGGAGTCCCGCGCGCCACGCCACTGAGCCCCAGCTCGTCGTCAAGGCAGAGCGTCGGGTCGTAGAGGATCCCCACCTCGGTGCGAACGGGCCATCTTGGTGTCGTCACCTCACTGTGCTCGTCCCAAGCGGGGAGCTCAGGATGTCATCGAACGCTCGGCAAAGCAATGACAAGGTAACTCCTGTAGAGAAGTTCTGAGAATTACACGAACTTGACTGCGAGTGTGCTGGAGGTAAAACAAGGGCAAGCCACGGATTCCTCACAACTCGCCTCCTGGCCGAAGCGACCCGCTTGGCGAATCTAAGTCAGAGAGCATCAGGCAATCTCAGGCAATCTTTCTCAAAGGACTTCACCAAAAAAAACTTGGGGGCCCACCGCCACGTACGAGCGATGAACCGGCCTGGTAGCATACTTGGTCAAAGGCAGCCGGACCAGGCTGAGCATTGAAGGGACCTCGGGATTCAAAGGTCCACACCTCCCGGAAGTCGCAATGATCTTCAGCAGCTGACTCGGCGACGCCTCAGCACCGGCACAACATCCGAAACAAGGAGCCCTTGCAACGGAACGGCAGAGAGGAGAACGGTCACGTCTAACCATCGCTAGACCAAGGGGCTCCCAGCCAAGTGGTCGTGGCTGCCGCATCCCTTCGAGCGAAAGCAATTTGAGCTTGGTCTCTGCCTTGTGGCGGGTCTGTTATGCACGAAGGATTCCTGATTCTGTCTCCTCCCCTTCCTGCGTGCACTGCCAAGCAGGCTCTTGCTCACCCCTGCCATCTCTTGCCTGATCCCACAACGGCACACGCCTTTGCCACCCGATCCTTATCCTTCTACTAACTGTCCTTACCGGCAAGCCTGTCTTGTTGTTCGGGCAGTCTCTCTTTCTCTCGCAGTCTGTCTTTTTGACTTCTCATTCCTCTTCGTGCCCTCCCTCTTTCTCCGCCTCGTCCGGAGCTTTCCAGCAAGCGCTTCTCGCAGAGGGGCGATGCCCTGGTCGCTGGCCAGCCTGGTCGCATCCCCATCTCGCACAATGCTACAGAACCCTAGCCTCAGCCTGCTGGAAGCGGGAGAAGGAACAGCATCTCCTCCAGAGCTCTGGAGTGTTTTTCGACTACTCTCCGTGTGACAGCACTTGACTTGAGCCCAACAGACACATGGGCTCGCGGCTCCGACCTGCACGGCGGCGCTGCTGGCTCCACTCGCTTCCAGAACCTCTGCGGCGGCGAGCTGCGACCATGCTGGCACTCCTTCCAGTCTGCATCAAAGCCATTCATAAGCAGGCAGCAGGGCCACATCCACTCCTTTTGGCAGGTGGCGAACTTCGGAGGCCATGTCTGGGATTGCGTCCAGCAGCTGTAAGATTATGAGCCGCACGGTCTGGCCTTGCACAGTCACGAACAACGGAAGTAGAACACGAAACACCACCTAGATGCATTTGAGGCATGCGCCCACTATGCCACCCACATTGATGAGCGCTTCGTCACCGCGAGGAAGCTCCTTCAGCAAGCAAGCAAACTGAAGTATCAAACAGGATCAAGCTGAGGACAAGCTTTGCACTTTGCGCATCCATGCCAGCGAAACAGTTGCACAGGACGAACGACAAACCCAAGAGGTGGCTGCGAAAGCTAGCTAGAGTGCATGAGGGAGCGGGAGAAACTCACTGTCTCTTTGGATCGTTGCCAGCTGGAAGGAACAATCAGGCTGCATATCCGAACCCTGCAAGGTCTGAAGCGGTAATCGCCGAATGCCAGCATAAACACACACACACACACCCACCCCTCGACACCAAAGCACATGTCTCCCCTATTCTGACAAAACTGGCCTTAAGACTAAGGTGACGGGAGGTCCCCCTGCCATGCCCTAACTCAAGCACGTTCAGTCCACTACGTTCAGTCCACAAGTAAGTGGGGGACCTTCTACATGCCATTAACGGTTGATTGATCGGACCTAAAGGCCCTGAAAGTGCTTGTGGACCCAGAGCTTCATTGATGAAAGAGTTGATTGACAGACAACTGCAAGCTCCTCGAGAGCTTTCTTTGATTTATCCTAACCCCACGATCGTCCATCGTACCTCCAGGCCCACCGAGATGTCTGCTTTCAGCAACTCCTCCCAACGTCATACTCCTCTACTTCATGGTCTGATGGACTCGAGCACCCCCCTGAGGCCATTCTAGTCGGCACCCTCTCCTCCAGCGCGTGTCGAACTTGCTGTGTCGCACTTCTTCTCTGGATAATTGGCGGCTCTCTCTGGCGAATCTCCAGAGTCGATGTCGTCAGGGCGACGGAGGACTCAACCAGATGGCAGAGAGCGGCAGCCTTCCGGCCGAAGGCCTCGAGCAAACTCAAAGAGGACCTGAGTCTTTTTGTTCCAAAAGCTCTCCAGTACTTCTCGGAGCGCTCCTGGAAAGGATCCGGCGGAAGCCTCAGGCTCGGACTCCTCCGACTCCGCGCTCCGGCTGAGCCCGCAGGTCTCACAGCCAAGCCGCTCACAGTAGTGAAGGTACGTCACGTCCAGCAGGCGAACCTTAAAGACACGCGAGCTTGCGGCGCGAGCTTGCGCAGCGAGATATGCGGCCCAACTCTCTACTAAAAAAGGGCTTAGTGGCTCCAGCGCTGGTGAGCTCGAGGGCTGCGAAGAGGAGGAAGCGCTCCTGGCCTCTTTCGGCAGACGTGTCCATCACTTCCCCGAGCTTCTTCAAGATGTCCGAAATCGCTGTGAGCGTCGCCTTTCGGAGGGTCGACACCGGCAGGGCCAGGCAGGCCCCGATGTCATCAGGCTCCAGCTTGTCCTCTAAACCATCTCGAGCGTGCACGTAGAGAACACGCTTCGAGTCGAAGGTCCCTCCTCGAAGCAATGCAGGCTGCAACTGAGAGGAGCGGAATCTCGAGAGCGGTCCTCTGCCCAACCCCAGACCACAAACCTTAGATCCACGAAACGCTCTAGAAGGTCTACAGACAGCCTGTGCCGTGGATGCAACCAGCATGCCAAGATGGCCAAGGAAAGCGAGATCAGAATCATGGCAGACCCAGCTCACAAGCGAGCTGAAGCTCTCGGCGCCCGCCATGGCATCGCCGAAGCAATAGCTTTCTAACTGCTAAGACGACCTGCTGCCTTCATTTCGACAGAGCAGCTCACATGTCACAAGTCTGCGTCAAGTACTGGCTCGTACCTGAGAGTGCGCGCATTTTCTGCGGAGAGCCTGGCGTCATCTGGCGTCCAGACCAATCCTACACTCCTTTTCTGGGTCAATAGCTTTTAGGCCCTATATATAAATCATGTGGAGTCGACACCAAGTCTTCGAGGGTGACACAGAAGTGAGACGTTGTGGGATATGGCGGAAACCTGTCCCTGAGAGGGTGCGTCCTGGAAAGATAGACCTGCTGTGCTGAAGCGCTTCCCAGTAGTTTCTAAGGGCCGACTTCGCCCTCGTCGGATGGGATGATGTCACCCAGCCATGCAAACTCATCACCCGCTGCGGCCTCTGCTGCGACTTCTGCAACCGCGCTTGCCACAGTAGCTTGCCCAACACTCGCCCGCTTCACTGCAAGATTGCAAACAGAACTTGCTTTGCATTGCCCTGCTACAATTTTCAGGAACTCTGTTCCGCCGCAAACTCGCTCCTGCACAGTGCTGCCTCTCCATGGCTTAAGGCACCTCAGCCTCTGCTTAGCGCCTGATTATTTCACCTCAAAATCGACTGAGTCGCTTTGGCGTTATGCACTTATCAACGCCGAGTGCCCAAGCACACGAGCTCGCGGTGTTCTGAGAACGCAGCACTCTGAGAAGGAGCAGAGGCCTGCAAGCATCATGAGATTGTAGCTGCTGCTTGCGACTTTCAAGGTTGCAATCGAGCGGCTGGAGGATTGGCAGGCTCCTGAGGAAAAGTCTTCTGATAAAGCAGCTGCACCTGGGGGCCACATGCAGTCTGCACTTGCGCTTGCAATGCTTGCAATTTGCAGTGACTGAGGAGAGGACGACCCGCTGCTGCGAGAGGAGGAGCTCCAGGACCTGAGAAGGACGCCCCCGTTTGGTTTGGCACAGAGCTGCGGGGCTGGAAGGGATCCGTTGGGCTCAGTATAAGCACTCGGCCCGCTCGCGGTCTTGGGCACTCAGCTCGTGAACAGACCTTTCGCGGAGCATGCACGATACCAGTCAGAGCAGGAGCCCCTCCATCGCTGCTGCAAGCGGACTGCACTTTAAGGCCCAGGACACTGATGCCAGAGGTGGGCTAGAACCTCCCGGGACGGTCGCGTCCTGCAGCGACGCAAGGCATGCCAAAGCCGTGAAAGGTGCACTGTCAACAGCCGTCGGTCCTTCCCCTCCTCCTGCATCTGCGTCCTCAGGGCAGCGGCCACCGTTCTCTGGACGAATGCATTTGCGCCAATTGATATCAGACGAGAGCGCGGCCGCAGGATTTCTGCCTGCGAAGTGGCTCACACCATTTTGTGCCCAAAGGCTCTGGTTATCTGCTTGCTCCATCATAACATGATATGACATGCGACGATGCCTTCACATCATCCAAGCTTTGTCGGAGCAGGACCTCCAGCTCCGTTCTTTGCTGCAACATGTCAGCCTGGCTGGGCGGCTCGGAACAAATTGATTACTCGCCGTCCCTTCCCTTCTCTCGACCACCTGTTGCTGCTTCAGCGCCACGACAGTTCGCCGCTCCTCGGATTGCCCATCGCACAGGAGCACGGCTGAATACAAAACATCGGTCTGACGACGCCTACTTTTCGCATCCCTCTGTGCGACCGCCTTGCTACGCCGCGCTGAGGTGCTGGCAGCATCCACCATTCGCTTCAGCTTTAAAGCTGCCTCCCGCAAAGCTACCTGCCAAGTCGCGATGGCCATGTCTCGTTCTAGCCTCTCTTTCGCCGGCATCCAGCCTCCCTTTCGTACTGCTTGTTATGCCTGGGCAGAAACAGCTGATCGGATAGCAAAGTCGCCTCCTTCGTGAACTGCTTCAGGCCCCGGCGTTTGCTGAAGCCTCGCTTGATCTATCTGCTTTTGAGAGAAACTCCGCCTGCAGGACGACGGACATCGAACCACTGCACAGAAGTCCTCTCACACCCTGGTGCAGGATGCGAACCTACTGTCGTGAGCATGCCATGTCACGCAATGTCGAGTCTGTGTTCGACGGTAGCAAAGGTGGAGGTGCAGGGAGGTGCGATGGCAAACTGTCACTGTTTACCTCACAGACAGGCGTAATTGCGGCACAACTTCCGCAGCATGGTAAATGTCCGAGACAACATGGTCTGCGCTTTGGTGGCAACCATGGCAGTGCGACAGTTGCAACACCTCCACCTATCAGAAAGCCTGTGGAACTCAACAACTAGGAAGCCCGAAGCCTCAAGAGCCCTCAGATCAGCACCTGTTGGGCTTGGGCTCTGCCTCCTTGGCTTCAGGCACTTCGGCCTCGGCACAGGGGCGTGCCTGGTCGTGATGTGCATGATGCAGGCTCCAAGTGGTTACTAAACAGTCTCGGTACAGTTAAATCGGGAGCCTGCGAATGTTTCCGGGCCTCTGGGAAACACAAAGCCTTTTGGGTGTCTATTGCCGGGCTCATGCAACATGAGCCTCCAGAGCGGCATTGTTTATTTTCTTCCACATGCCTGCAGAAACCCACACATACCGTGAGCTTCACTTCTCTCGAGTACTTTCGCATGTGAATCTTTGTTGAGTTCCCAGAAGCAAGAGGTTGGGGTCATGGCAGGCTGGCCAAATGTTGTCAAAATCCAAAGGAAGCGCAACTGCCCCTGGAGTCAAGCGCTTGGGTCCTGGCAGGCTTCGCACCAGAAGTCTGCTGCGACTTCAGCGCTTGGACTTCCTTCCTGGGGGCAAGATTCGAGACCCTGCTGCGAAAAGCATGTCATGAGGGGCTTCGATCGAAATATGCCTGCAGCATTTAGACAAAACTTGAGAGGTGGGCTCTGCCTAGGTCGGTGCACCATGGTGCTGCACAGTGTGACTATGTATGCGTCACCGTGCGCTCCTGGAAAGGACGAGTTCACGTAGCAGCGCTTTGCGGTCGTCCTCACGCGTCCTCAGCTTTTCCTGCAGCCTCGGGTGCCAGGCGTCGGAAACAGCTGGGTCTCTGCACAGCGAGGGCGAGGGCGGGGCTTCGCATTTTCCGCTGTAAGCTGCTGGTTCTTCTTGTCGAAGGTCTGAGCTAACTCCTGTGCAGATGTCTCGTCCCTCAATCAAGAGTCTAGGGCACAACAAACCGATCTTTACGGGCAAACGGCCGTGTCGCTGAATGTCATAATGCATACTCTCCTGCGTTTTGTGCAACTCGGCAACCTTACAAACAAAAGCACAGGCTGCGAGGCTGCGAGGGACCAGAACTCGACGAGGCATGGACCACCCTTCGATGGTGCGCCTGCTGCCTCAGTCACCGTTCACTCTGAAAAAAAAGCCGCCTTCGCCTTTTCTTGAAGCTTCCCGTCCAGGCCCGCAGCTCGGTGGAGTGCTCGCCTTTTCTGCTGCGCTGCGCCTCCAAATCCTCAAAGCGCGGAGTCTCCGACGAGCTTAGATTAGAATGTGAGCCCATGCAGCTGCCAGACCCCGCGACATCGACCGAGATTGAGGATCTAGAGCAATAGTTGGATATCTGGGGTGGAGCTGTAGGATTGGGTTGGTGCATATGCCTGTGGTGGAGTATGAGACATGCGGTGTTGGGATGCGTTGGGTTAGGATGGCGACTGCGGTAGCGGTGACATATAATTGTATCCATCCTCAACCTAAGCCCGAACCACCGATGCGGACGGGTCAGATCCTACAACAGGCAGTGCTCTCAGTAGGAAGAGTTTCACTTGGCTTCCGGTCCAGAATGGATTGGAGGCTCTCTTCACCCCCGAAAGCCCCTTCACCATCGAGCAAACACAGGAGATCAGTGCATGAACATATCATACTAGGATTTACTTTACCAAGCTGTCTATTTCCCTACTTCTTCGTATCTCCTCGTTGTGCCATGTCCCGTTTTTGCCATCTCTACATGCGATCGTCCTGGCCTTGGAGACCTCCTGCAGCCTTGCTCTGAAGGCGCGCATCAAGTCCTTCTCCTGGTCCTGGGAACGTGCACAGCATCCACGCATGCCTGCGAAGTCGGATGATCAAAGCCTGGAGGATCTTTGCCGTATTGGTTTGGATGCACTCCAGCCCGGTGATCACCTGAATCCAAATTATAGACAAGGGCCCGATATTCACATGATTTGCCCCGATTCCGCGACTTCACTCTCGAGGCTCGGGCGCTTCTATGCATGTTGCCAATGGCTTCCATGCGCTTGCCTTGACAAACAGACTGCGTGAGTCCAGCATCTACCCCCCCGAGCTAGGCTGAATTTCGGCTGAATCGTTCGAAGCACCCTGCGGCATCAGATTTACCGAGATGCTGTGCTCGTCATTCTCCGCACCCTCGAGCAGCCGTTTCTCGAGCGCTTCTATCTTGTTCCTTAGCCACACTTTCCCAGTCGGGTCGATGGGAAGGCAATGGTGTCTGCCGGAATGGACAGGAAACTCTGGCAATGCTATTGCTGTGGCAGCCAAGCTTTAACTCTTTCTTGTTGAATCGAAAGTTCGAAATCAACCCCAATCATCTCCAAACGTATTAGAGTTCTCGATTTGTCGAGGGATGCGCAGGCCCAAGTTTCGGTATATTTCAACACAGCACACGGAGACCTGGTTTGGTAATATGTTTCTGTGCCGGTGTCTCTCTTCCACACTGCTCAGTTTGCCACAAGTCCTAGGAGGTGCCCCTTTCGCCAGCCACTCGTGAAATACACCAACAATGTCCATTGGAGGGGTGGCCTTGATCTGGCTACGTCGACTTGAATGTCACTTACGCGGAACTTACGCGCTAAACCCTGCACTGGAACCGAATTTTTGGGTCTGTCGCTGCTTACACTTTTTTACTTAGGATCGACCTACGAGGCGCTACATAGTGTGAGCCGGGGCAGTAGCAATCGGCAGCAATCGTAGGTAGGACGTAATAGGTGGGAGGTATTAGCCGTCGGCGGTAGGTCGTATAAGGTTGCGGGTAGTAGGTACGGCAGGTAGTGGTAATAAGTGCGGTAGCAACAGTAGCAGTAGCAGCAGTAGCAGCAGTAGCAGCAGCAGCAGCAGTAGTAGCAGCAGCAGCAGCAGGAGTAGTAACAGCAGTACCAGTTGCAGTCGCAAGAGCATGATAAGTGGTGATGTTAGTAATAACAGTAATGATAATAATCGTTGTAGTAATAACAAGAAGAATTGCAACAATAGCAAAATTAGCAACAACAGTAGTAACAATAACAATAATGATGATAAGAAGGATAATGGTAATCATAGTAAACATAAAAGGAATAGTAATAATAGTGATAACAGTAGCAATAATCGTAACAGTAACAACAACATCCACAACAAAAATAGCAAAAGCAACAATAATAGTAATAGCAATAGTCAAAGTCATAGCACTAGTACTACCAACAGAAATCGTCATTGTAATAATAGTCAAAATAGCAAAATTACGGCAAGTAGGCTAAACAAATAACTTTCGCAAAAGAATAACTAACTTTAGCGGCACCATCGCGAAACTTTCGCGAAGGCATATTTAACTGTTGGCCCTTCATATCAGTTATGGCTCAAGGATATTTAGCTGTTGGCCTTTCAAGTAAGTTATGGCTCAAGAAGCTTTAGATCAACTACCATCTGTATCTTCGCATGGCCGCACACCTCGGGAGATAGGAGCTCGTCCGGCTCTCGCCGGCTTTTTTCACCATTTTGGTCCAAGGCTGAGAGCAAGATTCGATGATGGCCCCTACATCCAGACCAGGCCAAGGCTCACTCGACAGGGGCTGCTAACTTCGAAGTTTCCGCGGTTCCGCACGTAGTGATTTTCCCACAGGTAGCGGCCACAGCAAAACTGTAAACCCATCAACCCGAGATCCTAAACTGAATTAGGTTTACCTCGCCGCGTGTTCGTTGTTGCATGCGACCTAGGTACTCTAGGTACTCGGGGCTGGAGATTGCTCCGCGGTACCAGAGACTCTTCAACCCGGCATTACCGAGACCAGCAGAACCCTTTCAAAAGGTGCGGAATTAAGCTGGGTCACATAGTCGCCTTCTCACGCTTGACCTGACAAGTACGATGCTCCGTTTCGGACCTCTGCAAAGACTGCGACTCGACAGGTCACAAGTTCCAGCAAACATGGCGGGGATGGCAAAAGATGCCACTCGGTGCTTGTACCTTGCAAGCGTCTTCCCCCCCCGCCCCCATTGCCAAAAAAGACAAGACCAACCGAATCAACGCCAAAGTTCACCGGATGCGACGGCTGAAGGCTTTCTGAGAGACACGCTGATCCTCCAGAGTTCGATTCTTGTTCTTCTCCTCATTCAACTGCTTCTGAAGCTCCTGGCAAAGCAGTTCATGCAAACTGACACGAGCTCTCCTTACGATTGCACGGTGTGCTAGACCAATACCACCGATGTTTGTTCATCTCTGAGGCAGAGAACGTGTGGAAAAGCATGCTCAGCATGTGCAAACAGAATGCGGCCGGTCACCAGACTGGAATCCCTTCAGGAATCCATGCCCGAAGCATCCACCAATGTCATTTCATGACAGGGAACAGTAAAACGGTTCGTCCGCACAACTACGGACAAACTCGCAGCGCCTCTTTGTGCGAATCCCTAGGCTCAGGCGCGCAGTAATTACGCGCTTATTGTAATGAGCTGCCCCGGAGTCATCCCTTCGGTAACTACAACCTCCAGCGTGTCCTCAGCTGCAGACCATCACAAGCCATGCATCAAGCACGAACACCACAAACCTAACGGTCGCCATCATCTCCGGCCAAGCATCGCCCCAAGGCGCCTTGCACTGAATCCGGGCTCCAGGCTCCACACCCTCCGGGATTTGCACCTGGCCAGGCTTGCCGGAGCGGAAGGATTCCGAGACCACAGCAGCATCATATAAAGCTTTGTGTCCACGACTGCTGAGAGCAAGGTTGACGCTTCCAGCACGGTGGCAGTTGGCAAGACAGCAAGCAAACTGAGCCGGGCATTGGGATTCAAAAGGCTGTCAAGCCCTCAGCCACCCGCGCACCTGCATCGTCCGCGCTTCACCAGGCATTGCCTGCCACAGAATCAGTGCAGGCAGTATGGGACGGCGAGAATGCTCTGCTCTTTTTTGCAAGCTACAATGACCACTGACTTGCAGGCAGGCTCCAAGTGAAGCTCTTACGTGTCGCTCGTAATGCAAACATGCCAGGCTTGCGTGCTGTGCAGGTGCATACGAGGAAGGTGCCGGCGTCGGCGCTTTTGTTGGAGGAGGTCCATCTTTGTACTCTCTGCGGTAGAAAGCCACGTACCTCGACACGAGTCTGTCTCTCGGGGCACCAGACTGACTGAACTTTTGACGGGCACTCTGGATAGATGGAGGCTTCGTCGAAGACAATAAACTCCTGCAATGACGGATAATGACGGCATGCGCAACCAGTGCTTTTCTCTTGCAGTTCTGTGTGACTGGGTCTTTCTACCAACTTCGCAGCCGAGGGTCTCGAAACGTACCGACTGCTTTTTCACGATCCCCGACAACGCTGTCGAACTCACCAGACGTACACTTTTCCTGAGACTGTCTGAGCGCTGCAAGACACTGTCAGATGGTTGGACAAGAGTAATCCAACAGACAGCGTCCGCGCAAACAAGCCAAGCTTCTGTGTAGTCTCCAGGCTTCTCCACAACCTGAAATGCACTTGCCGGAGGACGACAAGGCAGTCTGCATCGTACAGATGCCCAAGAGACTCTTGCAGCTGAAGAACGTACGAGCTTCCAACAACGACCCTGCAAAGCAGCACTGCGAAGAGGCCGTCATAGGCACCACCCGTATTTTCGTCTCGCGCATATTCCTTGCGGGGCACGAACAGGAACCCATCTCGATGCTGCAGAAGCTATGTAATCTATTCCGATTTCGAAACAGGACAAGCCCAATTGACAAAAGCAGCTGGCCTTCTACAGCAAGGTTTCTCGGTATGCAGCATGTGATAGCATGTGGTTCTGTCTGCCTTTTTCTTAATGCCTCAACGGCCTCACAAAGGTAAGAACAACAGAGTCCTTGCCGTGGGGTGATGCGGCTTCCTGATCTCAGGACTTCTGCCAAGGTACGTCCGACTTCGCAGAGGACTCCGCCAAGTAGACCTGGCAGCGCAGCACTGGCCACTGGGGCACCATCCCGAGGCTGACAACTCCGCCGGGCAGACGCCAGGACCAAACATCGTCCCAACAGCTGCGCCGGCAAAATCCACTTTGAAAGAAGTGCTCAAGATCGAAATTGCGGAAGTGGGATTCGACCCGTGGAAAAGATACGCCTCGCAGGGAGAGCAGGGAACGACAAGGCCAGCTTCCTCACTCTGAAGGCCTCGTTGGTTGGGTTGCCAAGGCGTGGATGCGTGCACCTGGAGGCCCGCTACAGTTGAGTCTTGCTTGAAGCCTCTCTTCCTCACTCTGCTGGCCTCTCTTGAAAGGCGCTGCAAGCTTTCATCGTCTTCGGCTCCACAATCTCAACAGTACTGCGCTTCTTGATGTCCGTGGCCACCTCGGCGAGATGTTTCAGCGAGAAATAGCGCACTAAGATGGCCATCCCCATCTTTCGTACAAGCCACCTTGTTTCTTTTTTCTGCAAACTTGTCCCACAAGCCTGTCACATGTGCCAAGATTTGCAAAGCCCACAAGGTCTTCTACTCTTGACTGAGCTGGCCTGGATGCTCCGATCTCAAAGCGGAAACCACGACAAAGCGATCTGCTAGCGGACCACCCGAGCGGTCTCGCGTGGACTTCTTCTTGTAGGTGCCGTCCAGGACCTCCTGAATCCACGAGACCTCCTCAGCCGTGGCGGGGACGATTTCCTGGCCGACCGATCCTGTCCTGCCAAGTCTTGACTAGCAGAAGTAGAGTCAATGCTGGCTTTTGACATCCCTTGGGCCTGCTGCTTTCCTTCCAATAATTCGGTGGCAGCAGAGGAGCACGACCCAGCTTCGCAACATTCACATCCTGAGCCATGAACACGTTTCGTCCACCTGAGTTTTGAGACGAGCTTCGGCCGAGCACAAGCCTTCGGATGCGACACGTATGCTCCAACCTGCCTGGCCGATGTCTGAAGATGAGCTGCTGCTCGCGACCGGTGACACTCATTGTGCTGTCCTGCATCGCATCAGGTGACACCGTCGTGGAGAAACGTCTTTCATGAGTCTGATGGCCTACTTCAGGCGCATTGCTGGACCAGGCCTTTCCATAGCGGAAGATGGTATCCACGCTGTTGCCATTGCACACGATCAGGTCCCACTCACCCAGGTGATCGACCATGAAATCACAAAGCCTCATGGTGTACCTTTCGGCTTGCGCCGCTCGGAGAAGGAATCTGACACAGCCGTGTAACACCAGCATGGGCCTTCCAAAGTTGCTTTCGCCGTTCAGGCGTCCATTGCGGGTGTGCCACGTTGTACTGGCCTCTCCTCGAATCTCTGGAAGGGCCAAGCAAAGGCAGAGCTTCCACTACGACGACATGGATGGGAGCATCGCCAATTTGAGACATCCATCCGAATTAAGAAAGCGGCTGAGACGGAAGCAGTTGCATTGAAGGAGCAAGTCGCCTGCACGCAGGTTCGATCAGGAACCGAGAAGGCAAGCCTACACTTCATGTGTTCATAAAGATCATAAAGATGCGGGAAGAAAACACTTTGCCGCACAGTCACAATACGGCTGTGGACCCAGCGGCGTGCACAGCATCGTTTGCTGCATGTATTGGATGACCTCTTGCACACTAACGTGCTGCAGTTGCACACTAGAGTTTTACAAACGTGATTGCAAGCCCTCCAGCAGCAATGCATTCCGGCCTGCTGGTACACGCCGTTTGTGTTCTGGCCATTTATTTCGATGAACCCTGAATAGTGGCCGTGCATGCTCGTCGGTATCGTTCGCAGCTCGATCATCAGGAGCGGGGCTGCAGGGTTGTCGCTTGGTCGAGCCTTTGTGAATTTCACTTGCTGCTCGCGCATGATGCCTGAATTGTTGTTGCCTGGCCCAGGCTTCAAGTTTCATCTACACCCACACCCAGGCCAGTCTTGAGACCACAGTTGAACCGTGCCTGCATGAATGTTGCCACCATTGCAAAGCAGCAGCATCCATCCCATCTGCCCCAGATAGCTTGCAACTTCAATGGTGCGTTTGCCTCGTCTTGCAAAGCTTCTGATGCAGCGTCCCTGCATCCAATTGAATATCAGCTCAGGGACCCAGATTGTTTGTAGTTCCCTGACGATAAAACCAGCCCGGAGGAGTTTGATACTTCACATCGCAGTACCTTGGCGGGCTGTCAGCATAAGGCCAGAACATCTGCAAGACCGTGACGCGACTGCGACGTCTGCAGAGAAGTGTCTTCTCAGAGGACTCCCAGAAGCCTGGTTGGTACACCTGCAGGAATGACTGAGGATGCTCAGCAGCCGCCTAGACATGGACATCGTTCGAAAACCACCGTTTTCATGGTTACGGGTGCAAGACCAGGAACTACATATGAATTTTCCGTTTTTTAGGTAGGTGACAAATATACTGTAGACACAGTATCAAGCAAAGACATGCGAAATGACGCTACAGCCTCGTCTAGCTGCTTCGGCCGAGCACAGACACGGCGGACAGAGAGACAGCGCACCAGCCTTGCAGCCCTGGCTTTGATAGAACTGCTCCAGATGCTTGGCTGCCTCCGGTGCATCGTGCAAGCCGTTGATTTCCACGTAGCCCTGATCTCGCAGCTCGACCATGATATGCTGCTCGCCGTGCTGCACGAAGGCGTCCTTAAAGCTTCGATGCATCGCATGCTCTTCTTGACTCCAGACTCTAGACAGTCTGGACATTAGTGAGACATGCAGTGGGGTTGGCCTATCGGGTCCTCGCGCAAATTCAGGCAGGCAGCGTTTCGGAAAACCATCTGTTGCTCTCGCATACTCCCTGTCAACCCATAGTTCCCACCCGTGCATGTCAGCAGTGTCCACGCGCACTCCTTGGTCATGAAGTCGACAAGCTCCATCGTCTTCATGCCCATGTTGTTCTCCCCCTGCGTCCCTCTCTTTTTGAAGGCGCTGGTGGAGAATTTGAGGTCACAGTAGTCTTTGTCAGCAGTGGTTCTCGAACCACCCCACTTTTTTCTGATAAAGTCCTGTGCAGCTGCGAAACGCAGGGGAGTCCGGCACATGTCGAATGAGGTTTTGGCGCAATGCATCAATCGCACAGAACAAAGCGAGTCCTCAATCTTCCCGTAAATCCCGTCTGTATCAAAGCCATTCACTTCTATGTACCCGACAGACCTGAAGAAGGCTTGGGTACAGGCCTGTGCTGTCTCAGAAGTCTTCATGCGTGGCTTTGGCAGGACTGTCCGACTGCTACTCATTGCAAGCCGCCTCAACTCGATCATGATGTGGGGCGCCATCAAATTCCTAGGCGCCAAGATGGACAAAAATGTCAATGCGAGAAAGGCATACAGGGATAAAAAGACCGTTCAGAAAGCTGCCCTTTTCCGACGAGTTACAGCGGATGGGGAGCCTTAAACTTGATCTGCGTCTCACGCATCTGACCGTAGTACCCCAGATTTCCGCCATCTGTCAGATGTAAGCCCCATCCACACTCGTTGGTCATAAAGTTGATGACCTCAGCTTGCAACATATGCTCTGAATAATTACCATTTGCATGGCCTGCAAAAGCCAAAAGTTGCAAAAAGGGCATCCTGGCCTCCATGGCCAGCTTTCCTTAGCTTAGCTGGGTTTTAGCCTCAAGTGCCTTCGAAACTTCGAAACGGTTCAACCCACCATCCTGTCATCGCCCTCCTTTTGCTCTTAGTTTGGCAGTGTCTGGCACCCTGCACATGAGGCCTGCCCACTTGCTTGGCAACCGCTGTTTCAACACAGTCCGCCTTCATCTACGTCAGTAGAATCCAGTCCAAGCCAAGGAGCCCATGTTGTTTTCGCCCTCGTTGCCGCGGCTTTTGAATTTGCCATTGAGGGCCACCGAACCATCAGAATTCTGAGTGCCGCACACATAATTCCTTATCGAGACTTGTGATCCCATCGAGCTCTGCAGGTGGAAAAGAGCAAGCCCACCAATCAGTGACGGCCAAGGCTCTTGTCGCAAACTTCGTCACAAGGCTCTTTGGGTGCCATTGTGAGCTGAGGTCCAACCATTCCAGCGCAGCAGTTGTTCTCCTTAAACCCATGGTTCAACAGCATCGCCAGGCTTCAAAGCCTTTTGCGTACTCCGGAGGAAGTTTGTGTATGCAGCACCTGATGTTTTTTCTTGCAGCGAGCTCTGGGAGGTCGAGCAGAGAGTTCTTTCTCGTCATTGAATGTTGCGCCAGGTTGGGTGCCAGCACGCTGTGGGCGGGTGAGGGGAATACGGATAAATACTGTCATGCTGGAGAGGACAAAGAGTTTACCTCGGCAGGACTCTCTACTTCTCATGTTGTGCTGCAGCGTTTTGCTCTCAGGCCCTTCGATTGAAAACCGTGATGAGTGAGCCCTGGCCCCGGACGCTGCATCCCTCAAAGGTACTTCAGACCAGAGGGCAAGATTTGCCTGGGTTGGGCCATTGAGCCCACTCGTGCTGCAATGCTTGTAGAGGGCTTGATTGTTGAGCATGGCGAGAGTCACTGTTAGTTTCGGCTGTAGATAAACTCCGTGTCTAGTGCTGGATGCAAGACGATTTAGTTTCGAGTCGTCTCGCAAGCCTCGGAGACCAGCGCAGCATGTTGGTCCAGTATTTTGCTTTTGCTTCAGACTGTTGGGAACTTCTGGCAGGATTTGGCAGGCGCATGGCAACTCCCGGTATTTATGATCGTAATCCTACTAATAAGACGATGTCAAACGAACCATGTCACCCAGGTGTGTCTCAAACATGAATCCCACGTCGCTCCTCAGCAAAACAAGATCCGGCAGCTGTAACTTGGCTTGCTCCACGCTGTGGTTTGGCGGTCACTGTGCCACGTGTGGCCCGTGCTCAACTCGATAGAATGCCACTGTTGCGCTTTGTTTGCGGACAGGGGCGGGAATTCTGATGGCCACGTCTCGGGGACGTTTTCTCTACGGCAATCCTTGGGCTTGCTGTCTCGCTATTCTTTTCTGTCGTCGCTTGCAACGAATCGCATGGCTTCGGCCTAGGGTGGGATGGTCCCTCCTGTGGGTCCTTGGAGGCAGTACCGCGAGGCTGGAGGGGAAGGGACGGAGTTCCAGACATGCCACCAGAACCAAACTGAAGGCCAGGCCCCAACGCAACGTGCTCTCGGTGGATTCCGGACTAGCAAAGCAACAGGAGTATTTAGAGTCTCGAGCTGCTGCAATATCTGCAATGCTCTTCTGCGCAGCTGGCTTACCCTGTCTTTCCGGGCCGTCAGCCCTCTTTTTCACAGAAAGATGTTCCCTCGCAAGCTTTGCAAACTCCGAAAGTGCCCACGCATGTGTAAGAGTCGCGTGCAGGCTGGTCAGAGCCAGGTGGCATCTACAAATCTGCGCATCACCAACGTGGTCTCTGTTGCACCAAAATATGTCTTGAAGAAGCTGTCAAGCTTGTCCTTGCTGTCGCGCCATCAAATCCAAGGGCAGACATGAGCACGAGAAGTGCTGAGGGCTTGGCATAGATACCACCTATGTTCTTGCCGCACATCCTCGGCGGCATGCGCATGCTGCCGCGATCTCTACGTCTCCAGAAGCAGAGGTCTTCCACCACGTCTAAGCTCTGGTCTCAATGTAGCCCACATTTCGAAGCTCGATCAATAAGTGAGGAACCTTTGTCCTGTCAACAGCGCCGAAGACTAAGCAAACAAACCTGTTGCGATCCTTCTTGCAATTCACGACAGGCGCGAGAGACTATGACTATGAGTCCTCTGATCAAACTGTTTCAGAATCTCCATTTGGCTGGCATGCTGCGATCCTCGGGTTCAAAAACGAAACAGCTTTTGCTGGCACTTTCCAATAAGCTATATCTCGCGCGCAGTTCTCTCGCTAATGCCAGCCAGTCACTTTCCAGTTCACGTTCTGCCTCCACCTGGTTCTTCAGCGCGCTTATATCTTGTCCCATGGCAGGCTGTCAGGCTCTGGGGCTGGCTATCACCACGCTCGTTTTGTGCCAACGAGCTGAAGCACGCAGAGGACCTCTTAGTCGCCCATGAACTATATTGCGCAGACTTCATGGCTAATATGGACTGGTATGGCAGGTATGGATGTGGCCGGCGAAGATTTCACAAAAATTAGCAGAGTCAAGCTCACGGGCTGCTGGCACAAGCATTTGCATGAGATAACGTGGCAGCAGCACGGCGATCATGCTGTCTCGGTCGTCGTCCTTCCCTGAGCCCACCCTGTGTCAAGAAGCGCCGTGGATGCTTCGGAACACACACAACATAGTTCCTATCTAACCTTGCCAGCACGAGCATTCGCAGCACAGTGAGAAAGTTCGATGGCTACTTCAGGCATGAACGGACATGCGTGCGCGACCTCGGGAGGCCCGTGCTCATGGCAGAGCTGGCCAGCTTCTCGGCAAACCCAGGCGAGCTCTGCATAAGCCTTTCAACTAGCGGATGCCAACTTCTCACTTCATTGTGTGCTAAGTCCTGCAGCCACTTCAACTGAGCTAGCGTGCTTGGTGGCCGTCGACTGCATTTGCTGAATCGAACGATCCTGCAAATCTTGCAAGCATCGAGACTGTCGCACAGGCGGCCGGTGCCCGGTAATGCTCTCTTCATTCCGTAAACCCGTATATCCCTAAACCCCAAAAACGCTAAAGCCGTTAAACCCTAAAGCCCTGAAGCCCTAAACCCCTAAAACGCCCAAATCCCAAGGCCTAACCCAGTCTCAAGGCAAGCCACTACGGCTGTCAGCGAGCTTGTCAAGTCTACGGTTTGTAGCTTAGGATTTAGGGTTTGGGGGTTCAGTTCTTCGGGTTTCGGCTTTAGGCCCCAGACTCAGCTTCATGTAGAGCGGCCGTTTTAGCTGTCAGTGGGGCCTTTTACTGAAGAGACTCTCCTTACAGACGCTAGCGGCCAGAGCCCACATCCTCAGGAAGGGTCTGGGGAAGGGGATTCTAAATATCAAGTGGACATGAGTGCACAGCAGCACAAGAACATCTCCCCGTCCTCTGCCATAGTCTACACCTCTCAAGCAAGGCGGCTTTCATACTGAATCCCATGCGACAACTCACGAAAGCGCACACATCACAAGCAAGTGCCTGCAGTTTGTCAAAGCTTACAGCTCTTGTTGCCTGGGCTGCACTGCCAAAGCTGCCTGTACGCACAAGTCCTACTCTCTGACTTGCGACAGCAACAGCTGCTTGCCATCCGAAGCTGCTGCGCATCAGGGCTCACGTTGGAAGCCCCGCTCCACCGCTTGAATCCAGAAAGGCTTCATGCAGATGCATGCCCAAATTTAGCGAACCATCAAGCAGTTCTCAGATGCTCCAACATGTTTTGAATCGAAGCCACGGACAGCCCTCGGAAAGGGGTGCAGTCCTCTCACGGGAAAAGTTCGGGGACTTCGTCCTCGTGCTGAGATTAGTCGAGGCCTCTGGCAACTTGGGCCTTGGCATACCCTCAGCTGTCCCTGGGGTCTTCCAGCAACACCCATTTCAGGCCCTTGGCGGGGTCTTCAATTGGATCTTTGCTGGCGATTTTACGGGAAACCCGTTTCAGACCCGCTTGCCTCCGATGCGGCTCTCGCATTAGTGGATAAATTAATATGCCGACACCCTTCCAAACTGAGGCTATGCCGTGGCGAACCGACGTGTCACGGCTGCCCGGAAGGCTCAGTTGCTGGACGCGCCTGTTTTCAGGGCACGGGGGGCTGCCCGGCTGTGAGGCCGCTCCTGGCCTCCATCTCTGTGGCCGGAGCCTCGCCAAGACGGTTGCCACTGCCTCCGAAGGCCTGGGCTGCGAAGACTCCGCGCTCCGCGCTGCTCTCGAGTGCTCTATCTGAGAGCCACGCCACGAACTGGCCTCCTGTCGGGGCACTCAGCCCATGCCCGGAAGCATTTTCGAAGTCTCACAGCTGTCGACATAACTTACGTCTCACACACACACACCTACCTCTTAACGAAGTCTTCTTATCTGTCAGACCGACCCAACTCCAAACGCGACGAAACACGACCAACTCGTCGACCTCAGTCTGCCCCCTCCGCTTCTCAGATAGGAAGAAGGGAGCACAGGACAGCTTCACAGCTTCTTCACAGAGCAAGTACCCCAACGAAAAGGCGAGGCCATGTTGCAATTGCACCGTACTTGTTGGACGTATGCGAGTGTCCTGCAGCACCGCTCGTTGCTGTCCTGGCAAGTGCATTCCAACAAGCGCAAGCCTGCATGGTGGTGTCAGCCCAAATATCTAAGCAGAGCCGTGAGCATGCTTTCAGGAAACCTGGCCAGCAACACGTGGAGTTGGTGGCGTCAGTGTTTCCGAAGTCAGAGAAGTTTCTGTAGCCTGGCTGTATCGGAGCTCACATCGGAAGCTTCCACACCGTCCGCGCTGCAAGCAGCTGAGGCCGAGCACGCCGATCAATCTGCACATCAAGATCGTACGAAGATGTTGATGCAGCTGGGATCTGCATCAAGACAAAGGCTTGGATAAGGCTCTGACTGGCAAAATGACAACACACGGGTCCAAGGTGCAAGCCCAAGAAGTTCCGAGCAGCTGGCAGCGACCTCCTGAGGACTTCAGGGCTCTGCGCTCAACACTGCACCGCACATGCCATGTGCACACTTCTGCTCACCTCTGCAGCACTTCTGCTCGAGGCGATCCACCCGGGTTTTCGAGGGAAGCAGCCGCTCGAGGCCTCAGAGCTGAGCGGCGAGCTTTGGCCCGGCGCTCCGCTGCGCGGCTCCCGGCGCAGCTTTGGGTAGCCGTAGCCGATGGCCAACGCCACCAGAAAGTTCTGGCTCGATAGCTTATCGCGAGTGGACAACCGTGCAGAAATAGGCAGGAAGACCCACATGATCCTGCCGTTGATGAGCGTGAAAAGGCCCGTTAATGCAAGGGGGTACCACCTGCGAAAACAACTTCTCTCGTTTCCCACAACACTGCTAGTCAAGCTAGTCTAGTCTGAACAGTCAAGGCCGACGACACGCCTGTTCGGAATCTTGACCTTGCGCAAGAAAATCCGAAGTGAGGGTTGATGCTTTAGGAGCACCCCAAGGCTTCCCACCAGGCCCCAGAAGTTCGTCGAGCTGTCTGGGTTGCTAAGAGCCGACAATGTCAAGCAGACCTGGCAGCCCATGCAACAGTTTGCACACTTCTGCGAAGCTAGAGGATGCTACGCCGCAAAGCCCCAGGCCATGATCATCGGCCAAAGCCTCAGCAGCGGTGTGCTTCTGTTGCGTCTGTGCGAGCCTGCATCGGTGCGCCCGATCATTGGCTGTTGGCTCTGCCTCGATTGTGAAACGAACTGTTGTTGGGTGGTGTAGCAGAGCGACATGTGGTGTCGAAAGCCAACAACAGTAAGCACACATCAGACGGAAGAGATTGCTTGTGAACGATGAGAGTGAAACCACGATAATCAACGATTGCCAACACACACACACGCACAACCGTGAAGTGATAACTTGTAAGCCCTGCAACTAGCATGCTGCTAGCCCACCTCCACAATCCTGAACAAACACGATGCTAAAGACTAAGACAACCTGATCACTTTTCCCGACTGGCTCTGGCCAACTTCCGATGAACAAAGCTGTGCATGAAATGGCTGCGACAACACTTGCAACATTGAGTTCAGAACCCTTAATGAGTGATACAAACGCTGGACTGATTGGCCGACCCTGTCACCACAATCCCACGGTGCAGCCAATCTAAGTACCGTCCTGACACTAAGCAGCAGCTGACGACTTTCACAGGGTACGCACACCGAAGTGCTTGCCCGTGTGCGTGGCGCGACTCACATATGGGAATTCTCGATTTTCAACACCTGTCGGGAGTCCGAGCCTCATACCCACGCAAACTCTGGTGGTAATAGTACGGCTGCATGTGGTAGTACATGCCAAGGCAAAACCTCAGCTTCCAGGCCGCACACAGGGCGGGAGCTTTGTGCCAAGTTTTGCCAAGCGACATAACTGGCAGATAAAGCAGACCTGAATTGACACAGGTCTGGAACACAGTGTCTCGCAGTCGCGATCCGTGCCATAGCAGTTCCGGTTCCGAACTTGACGATACCTACGCCTGATGACTGCAACTCCAGAGCGAACAAAGACCAATAGAATTGATGTCTGCCATTCATCTATCCATTCAACCAATGGTTGGAAGGCAGACTAAGCCTTTGGCAGTTTGATGGAACACAGAAATTCGAGGATTCACACTGCAGGCAGGCTTCTTGTGAGAGTGTTGATCAGAAACATCCAGAGCAGGAAGGTCGTCGATCCCATCTCCTGACGGAACAATGCTGCGCCGTCCATGAGAAGCATCTTCAGCAAGCCGTCCTTCTCTTGTGCAGGGAAGTGGCTCATCGCCATGTACATCCTAACCAGGAGCCGTGAAGGAACTGCAATTGCAAACAAGGGACATCAGCAGACATCCCACATGCACCTCTCAAAATGTTCATGCTCTCCCACATGAATCTACGGCATGCGATGCAGCAGGCTCTTGATGAGAAGTGCATTTCACGCCATGGTGCTCAAAGAGGATCATGACAAAAGCCATGCCACTCGAAAGCTCAACATAGAAGGGACCCCAAAGCAGCGTCCATAACCTCAGAGCTTAAGCAGAAATTAAAGTTACCAGGAGTTACGTGCCACGTTCACCCTCTGGACCTACATTTATAGAAACACTGGGCTTCCGGCTTCAGTTCCATCAGATTGGCCTTGACAGGCAAGCCAATTCGAGTGCGAGTCCAAGTCTGCGAGGATGCAAAGTCCAGCCCACCCAACCCAAATCACAGATTGCATTATTAGCTTGTTACGTGCCCTATGACTTCGTCGCTCCCGGCTGTGAAGCCGAAACAAACGGTCCGGTACAGTGCTGAATGTGCGTATTCATGAAGACACACACACACACGGAGGCACCCATGTTTGCGCTAGCCGTATGGTAGACCGACCAGTAGACAAAGCTAATACGCGTTGACCATCGCACCTTTGTGGAACATTCGATTGGAGAGAATCTGACTGGCACAGGAACCTCCTACAGGACGAAGAATTGGGGAACAATGCTCCACAACCTAACCGAGTGCTCGAAGCCGTGCAGGCGAGAATCAATGCTGCAGTGAAAGAGACCGTCCACAAGCCAGGCAGAGCTCTCCGAAGCCGACGCGATCATGAGGACCACGAAGGACATCACAGGATATCCTTTGCCAAACACATGCACTGGTCATGTTCGTGCATCTGTTTTGTTCTTTCAGCAGGACTGGCCTGCAACGACCATCCTTGTCAGCATCGGACATTCCGCCCACAGTGGATAAATTGCCTGCAACTGGTTTGGAGAAGGAACTTCCATCTTCCCGATGTAGCTACACTGCACTCGGTGGCACACGATGTCCCATTCTCCTACAATCATGCCAGCACGACGTTGCCCATGGATCGCTCGGCTGTTTAAAACAGCTACCAGCTAGGGCGGCACCGGAAACTGAAGCTGCAAGGCATCTGTTCTGTTGCTTGGAGCCTTCTGGCAGGGCTGGATGGTTGCTGTGCTGCGGCACTCTGAACTTGTGTCGGTCAGGGTGCCGCTTACGTGCTCGCAGCAATGGACTCTTGCATCTGTGCAATCTTCGGACACATGATGGATATACTCGGCGAGGATCTCGGGTCGGGCTGCTACTTGGGGGCTCGTTGGTCATAGTTGCTCATGGCGGAGCTGTGCCTCTTGCTCTTGAGCAGGCTGAGCAGGCATGCATTGCAACGCAGGTCCACACCAGAGTTCGCGTTTCCCCGCAGCTATGCACTGTCGTCGGCCCTGGCGCTTCTTCGATCAGAGTTCGCTCGAAACATGACGATAATATCGAGAATTTCTACAGGATATTCCCTGAACATCAGCTGCACTTGGGTTGAGTGCTCCATCGAGCGAGAGACGAGAGAGGAGTTGAGCACTCATGCAAGCGAGACTGAGGGTGCGGTTTGGGTGAGGGCAATGGGAAGCAGCTCGGCTGAACTCGTGGGGTCGACATCCACAGCCCTGCGAGCCTGTTTCCCTCACCGAATGCTCGCGAACTGCTGCAGCTCACGGGTCTGAAGTTTGAGAGGGCACGCCTGGGAAGTTCAACACGAGCCATGGCACATGCCAGAATCTGAAAACCACCAGTCCCCTCAGTCCGACCTCCCTAGGCGCATCCGCACTGGAGCGCGTCGCACTGCGGGGACCCAGCACCTGGCAGAGGCTCAGCGCTCGAAAGTCTCTGAAGGATCTGCGACAGATCTCCGACCTTGATTTGGCGAATGTGCGTGTCGCGCCCATTCCTTAGCGCAACACTTTGCCAGGGCTCCCATTGTTGAAAATTTCCTTGCACGACGAGGTGCTGATGATTGGTCAGCACGGCCAACCTTGGTTCGGCTGCATGCAGGATTCAGCTTCGTCTGCCGGCAAGGCCGTTCAAGAGCCCTGTATCGTCAGCCCAGGCTGCTGGATGAAATGCGTGCGGACAAATTCTCGAGCACCCCCCATCTCGCTGTCGCGTAAGGTACAGCTTGGCGGCAGTTCCTTGCTGATAAAAGGTAAGGCTGGAAATGCAATGAAGACATACCAGTAGCAGGCATGCAAAGGACATGTACCCTCAAGCCCAAGCCCCCTTGCCAAAAGCATGGAAAGCATGGAGCATCACTCGTCATATCCAAGGCTTGAACTTACTTGTTCCGCCGTATGGCATGGTCCGAAGGGCTGCAATTTTTCCTCATGGACAGAACCCCTGCATCGCTAGCCCGCCAGGCGTCCACAGGTCGAAAGCTCGGCTTGGCGAGAGGTATCGTGATCCAGCCTCAACCGGAACTTCGTTTCCTTCCATGTTTCAGTGCATGAGGCTATTGTGGGTAAGCTAAGTGGGCGGAATTTTCCGAAGCCCCTGCTTGAGCAGCCATGTGTTTCGACGCCCACACCCACATGAGCTCCCTTTCTTAGCGTCGCGCCGTCGGGCTCTTTCAGCTCCACCACCTGGACCTGCTGGCAAGTGTGTACAGTTCTGCCGGCAAAGCTGGTGGAGACTTTGGAGACATATCGTCCCACATGGCTGCTTCTCAAAGGCTTTCGTGCTGCTTCACAAGCACGATATCAATGTGCGATGGACACGCCTCTTGTAGATCGTGGTGTGCGGTGCCTATTCTGACCGATATTCGTGACGGTGTATATGACCTTAGCTCTTAGCAAAGGCTCTCGAAAGCTCCGGTCCATCACAATTCGCACATGACTTGGGGCGTGGCTCGTCGATCTTGAAACAAACATAGAAACAGATTTCGCTGACCTTGACCTGTCAACCCAAGGTAAACAAATTTCATCCAACCACCATCAGACACGGCCTTGCGTTGGAACTGTATGTTTATCAGGTGTGGCCTCAAGTGCACTATAGCTGCTAGCAACAGCGTTGCACTAGCCCGGTGTTGAATTCAAGTCTTCGGGACCGGACTGGGGTCCGTCCGACTGCCAGAAGGTGTCAGTGCTGCCATCACGAAGCTGCTCCACTCCTGAGGTTGGCCAGAAAATCGTGCTGCAACAAATTCGGAAAGAGAAACCCCACTCGCTTGCAGGGGCAGGCCACAGCATCATAAGAAATAGTATCCAGATTTAGCCTTTCCAAAAGGACTTGAGATTCTCTGAAGACCGGCAAGAACCACACAGAACCAAAAAGCCTGCAATCTCCGAGCCCAACATCTTTGCCTGGTCTCCGTTTCCTGGCTTCGCCGAGGATAGCGACCAGGCGGCCTCGGGGCCCAGGTCCCGGAAGTCCTCGCTGGGACCTTGGCCGCCTTGGCCCGACGCCGCGGACGCCGCAGCAGATGCAGAGGGGCCCTGGCCTTGGCCGCCTTGGCCCTGGGCTTGGTGGCCACCCGGGCCATTGCTTGGACCCTCCGACATTCCGCTCTAAAGGCTGTATATCGCTTTAACTCACGGTCTCTCCCTCGGGCCCTGCCTGTTCAGCGTCCTTGTGGTTTTTAGATCTGATCTTTTTATCTGCGAGCCGCAAATATTGCGAAATTGCGACGCAGGCAAAGCTTCCGCTTCATACTTTCCTGCAGCTCGGACGCATGGACTGTCAGCTTCGACCACACATGGCAGTTCTTTTACGGATAAAGCTTGGTCGGACGACAAGCCCTCGATAAGGAAGGCTGGATTTTATTCCCCCTTGAAGGGCTTCGAGCAAATGATCTTCAAAGGAGGACGACATGGAGCAGGGCACTGCACAACTCGAACGCAGTCTTCAAGCACACAGGGCCTGGCCCCTTGCTGCAGATTGATTGCTTTCGGCTGGGAGTCGAAGCATTATCAACGTACGAGGGTCCCAGACCTTGCTCCTGAATGCAACTGTCTAGGAGTCTAGGCAACCAGGCATGTGTTGACAGCACAGGTGCTGGGGCAGATGTTGCATGCCACAGCGGACAAGACCCCAGCATTGCTGGCAATTCTCACACTCAACCCCTAAAACGCCCAAATCCCAAGGCCTAACGCAGTCTCAAGGCAAGCCACTACGGCTGTCAGCGAGCTTGTCAAGCCTACGGTTTGTAGCTTAGGATTTAGGGATTGGGGTTATGCTCTTGGGGTTTAGGCAGTTTAGGCCCCGGACTCGCCTTCACCTTAAACCTATGTAAGCCTACACCCCAAGAGCCGGATCTGTGTTCAACATACAGAGGCCTTGTGAGCTCTACCAGTGGAGCCTTTTGCTGAAGAGACTCTCCTCACAAACGCTTGCGGCCAGAGCCCACATCCTCAGGAAAGGGCGGGAAAAGGGATTCTAAATATCAAGTGGACATGAGTGCACAGCAGCACAAGAACATCTCCCCGTCCTCTGCCATAGTCTACACCTCTCAAGCAAGGCGGCCTTCGTACTGAATCCCATGCGACAACTCACGAAAGCGCACACATCACAAGCAAGTGCCTGCAGTTTGTCAAAGCTTAAAGCTCTTGTTGCCGGGGCTGCACTGCCAAAGCTGCCTGTACGCACAAGTCCTACTCTCTGACTTGCGACAGCAACAGCTGCTTGCCATCCGAAGGTGCTGCGCATCGGAGCTCACGTTGGAAGCCCCTCTCCACCGCTTGAATCCAGAAAGGCTTCATGCAGATGCATGCCCAACTTTAACCAAACCATCAAGCAGTTCTCAGATGCTCCAACATGTTTTGAATCGAAGTAACGGACAGCCCCTCGGAAAGGGGTGCAGTCCTAACACGGGATAATTTCGGGGACTTCGTCCTCTCAGGCCCGTGGCAACTTTGGCATTTGAATCGAATCAACGGACAGCCCTTAAAAAATATGCAGTCCTCCACGGGAAAATTTCGGGAACTTCGTCCTCTCAGGCCCCTAGCAATTTGGGCCTTTGAATCGAAGCAACGGACAGGCCTTGGAAAATATGCAGTCCTCCCGCGAGACAATTTGGGGACTTCGTCCTCTCAGGCCCCTAGCAATTTGGGCCTTTGAATCGAAGCAACGGACAGGCCTCGGAAAAACATGCAGTCCTCCCACGGCAAAATTCGGGGACTTCGTCCTCTCAGGCCCCTGGCAACTTGGGCCTTGGCATACCCTCAGTTTGCCCTAGGGTCTTCCAGCAACACCCGTTTCAGGCCCTTGGCGGGGTCTTCAATTGGATCTTTGCTGGCGATTTTACGGGGAACCCGTTTCAGACCCGCTTGCCTCCGATGCGGCTCTCGCATTCGTGGATAAATTAATATGCCGACACCCTTCCAAACTGAGGGTATGCCGTGGCGAACCGACGCGTCACGGCTGCCCGGAAGGCTCAGTTGCTGGACGCGCCTGTCCCCAGGGCCCGGGTCGGGGCTGCCCGGGTCGCTGTGAGGCCTCGCCTTTGTTTCAGCTCCAGCGGTCCTGGCCTGCATCTCTGTACCCGAAGCCTCGCCAAGGCGGTTGCCAGTGCCTCCGAAGGCCTGGGCTGCGAAGACTCCTCTCGAGTGCTCCCACACGCCCCCACGTGTATCTGAGAGCCACGCCACGAACTGGCCTCCTGTCGGGGCTCTCAGCCCATGCCCGGAAGCATTTTCGAAGTCTCACAGCTGTCGACATAACTTGCACACTTACGTGTTTCTCACACACACCCCTCTCTACGAAGTCTTCTTATCTGTCAGACCGACCAAACACGACAAAAAAAAAGAAAACAGACTTTCGCCCTTTTGCCCAACTCGTCGACCTCAGTCTGCCCCCCTCCATCTCTCAGATACGGAAGACAAAAAGGGACGTATGCGAGTCTCCTGCAGCACAGCTCGGTGCTGTCCTGGCAAGTGCATTCCATGGCATTCACAACAACAATTCCGCCGCAAATGCAAGCCTGCATGGCGGTGTCAGCCCAAATATCTAAGCAGAGCCGTGAGCGTGCTTTCAGGAAACCTGGCCAGCAACACGTGGAGTTGGTGGCGTCAGTGTTTAAGAAGTTTCTTTGGCCTGGCGGCATCGGGCTCACATCGGAAGCTTCCACACCGTCCAAGCAGGTGACTGAGGCCGAGCACGCTCATCAATCCGCTCGTCAAGATCGTACGAAGATGTTGATACAGCTGGGATCTGCATCAAAACAAGAAAAGGCTTGGATAAGGCTCTGAAACACAGGGGTCCAAGGTGCAAGCCCAAGAAGCTCCGAGCAGCTGGCAGCGACCTCCTGAGGACTTCAGGGTTCTGTGCTCTACACTGCACCGCACATGCCATGTGCACTTCTGCTCACCTCTGCACTTCTGCTCGAGGCGATCTACGCGGGTTTTGGAGGGAAGCAGCCGCTCGAGGCCTCAGAGCTGAGCGGCGAGCTTTGGCGCGGCACTCCGCTGCGCTCCGCCCGGCCCGCTGCCCGGCTCTCCCAGGCTCCCGGCGTAGCTTTGGGTAGCCGTAGCCGATGGCCAACGCCACCAGAAATTCCTGGCTCGATAGCTTATCGCGAGTGGACAACCGTGCAGAAATAGGCAGGAAGACCCACATGATCCTGCCGTTGATGAGCGTGAAAAGGCCCGTTAATGCAAGGGGGTACCACCTGCGAAAACAATTTCTCTCGTTTCCCACAACACTGCTTGTCAAGCTAGTCTAGTCTGAACGGTCAAGGCCGACGACACGCCTGTTCGGAATCGTGACCTTGCGCAAGAAAATCCGAGGTGAGGGTTGATGCTTTAGGGGCGCCCCAAGGCTTCCCACCACGCCCCAGAAGTCCGTCGAGCTGTCTGGGTCCCTAAGAGAATCCAATGTGAAGCAGACCTGGCAGCCCATGCAACAGTTTGCACACTTCTGCGAAGCTATAGAGGATGCTACGCCGCAAAGCCCCAGGCCATGAGCAGCGGCCAAAGCCTCAGCAGCGGTGTGCTTCTGTTGCGTCTGTGCGAGCCTGCGTCGGTGCGCCCGATCCACTTGGCTCCATCATTGGCTATTGTCTCTGCCTCGATCATGAAACGAATTGCTGTTGGGTGTGTAGCAGAGCGACCTGTGGTGTCGAAAGCCAAGAACAGTGCGCACACATCACAGGGAAGAGCTTGCTTCTGAACGATGAATGTTTTAGTCGAGAGTCGAGAGTGAAACCACGATTGCCAACACATACACACACGGACACAACCGTGAAGTGATAAGTTGTAAGCCCTGCAACTAGTATGCTTCTAGCCCACCTCCACAATCCTGAACAAACACGCTGCTAAACACTAAGAGAACCTGATCACTTTTCCCGACTGGCTCTGGCCAACTAGCCGAAGGTCGAGTGGTGATGAAGCAACATCGCTCTCTAAGAAGTTCCTGTTCCATGCTTTTTCTAGCGCGACTCTCCGATGAACAAAGCTGTGCATGAAATGGCTGCGACAACACTTGCAACATTGAGTTCAGAACCTTTAATGAGTGATACAAACGCTGGACTGATTGGCCGACCCTGTCACCACAATCCCACGGTGCAGCCAATCTAAGTACCGTCATGACACTAAGCAGCAGCTGACGACTTTCACAGGGTATGCATGCCGAAGTGCTTGCCCGTGTGCGTGGCGCGACTCAAGTATGGGAATTCTCGATTTTCAACACCTGTCGGGAGTCCGAGCCTCATACCCACGCAAACTCTGGAGCAAATAGTACGGCTCATCGTAAATGAAGAAAAGGCAAAACCTCAGCGTCCAGGCCGCACACAGGGCGCAAGCTTTGAGCAGCCAAGTTTTGCCAAGCGACATAATTGCCAGATAAAGCAGACCTGAATCGACACAGGTCTGGAACACAGTGTCTCGCAGTCGCGATCCGTGCCATAGCAGTTCCGGTTCCGAACTTGACGACACCTATGCCTGATGACTGCAACTTCAGAGCGAACAAAGACCAATAGAATAGATGTCTGCCATTGATCTATCCATTCAACCAATGGTTGGAAGGCTCTCGACCACAGCGAGGCCCAATCGAGTGCCTGTTGAAACTAACAGTAGAGCCACCGAGACCTGGCAAACTAAACCTGTGGGAGTTTGATGGAACACAGGAATTCGAGGATTCACACTGCAGGCAGGCTTCTTGTGAGAGTGTTGATCAGAAACATCCAGAGCAAGAAGGTCGTCGATCCCATCTCCTGACGGAACAATGCTGTGCCGTCGGCGGCAGCCCAGAACGATAAGATTAAAAGCATCTTCAGCAAGCCGGTCCTTCTCTAGTGCGGGGAAGTAGCTCATTGCATAGTACATCCTAGCCAGGAACCGTGCAGGAACTGCAATTGCAAACAAGGGACATCGCAGACAGCCTGCATGCACCTCTCAAAATGTTCATGCTCTCCCACACGAATCTACGGCATGCGATACAGCAGGCTCTTGATAAGAAGAGCATTTCACGCCATGGTGCTGGAAGAGGACCATGAGAAAAGCCCTGCCACTCGAAATCGCAACATAGAAGGGACCCCACAGCAGCGTCCAGAACCTCAGCGCTTGAGCAGAAATTGCAAGACAAGTTACCAGGAGTTACGTGCCACGTTCACAAGCGCAAACACCCTCTGGAACAACATTTATAGAAACACTGGGCTTCCGGCTTCAGTTGTATCAGACTGACCTTGACACGCAAGCCAATTCGAGTCCGAGTCCAAGACTGCGAGGATGCAAAGTCCAGTCCACACACCCCAGAACCCAAATCACGGATTGATTATACACAAAAGTGCAGCCGGCAACTCCCCGGGGCACCCTTTGAGCCAATCCTGCGGAGTCAGCAGCTGGAAATATTCGAGAACTCGACACCAACCCCACTTGGAGCTGCTGACGATCCTCAGACGGAAAACTGCGCTTTCAGGCTTTCTGGCGAGTCTGTTCAAAAGCTAACTCCTTGGCTCGCGCACGGTCTTTACACTTGCGCTTTCTGAAGCCGGCTTCTTCACGGAGACGTTGGGCCTCTTCGCAGTCCTTCAGACTCCAAGGGCCACGCTTCATGACCTTGTCGCGAACAGGGTTGCCATACTCTTTGGTCAACCCGTCTGCCGGGATGGTCAGGCCAGCAACCCATCTGACCCATCGGTTAGAGTCCTCTTCGAAGATGGCTTCCTTGATCATCGCCACGTCGACGGCGAGCCGCTTGTCCTCGCCGTTGCTGATGCTGTTCAGCGCGCCGTAGCCCGTCTTGGAGTCCAGCACGAGGATCTCGGACCATCTGGAGGTCGACCACCTCCAGAATTGGAGCGTGAATTGTGGGTCCCAAATCTCCGCCATCATTGCTCTCACGTACTCACACTGGTCCAGGAACGCACCACTCGTTTTAGCACAGCGCTGTGGTAGAGGAGGCAGTTCACCAAGCTCTCGCCCTCCAGGATCTCCTTATTGGCAGCCAGGATCATCATTCCACCTTGAGACCGTCCACGGGGCAAACTTCCACAAGAAGCGTCACTCACCGCCAGGAAGACGAGGTCCGCGATGGTGCCCAGGAGGCGCTGGTAGATCAGCTGATAGGGCTCCCTTGCCTTCTTCACCAGCTGATTCAGCATCTTTATGGTGTCCGGATCTCGGACGTCAGCCATCTGTTGAATGCGGGAGATGCCGTAAGCCAAATCGGCGCGCCCTTGCCTAGCCATCCAGTTCAGCTGGCCTCCCACTGATGCCACCCACTTCTTCTCTGCATCAGTGAGGGGCGCATCCTTGACACTTGAGCTTCGGGGCGTAGCCATCCATCGTCACCGTGATCTTGAGCGTGGTCGGGCACTGGCGTTCCCATCGCCCACAAAACTTCACCGTCTCCTTGGTGGCGTCTTTCCACTCTCCGAAGTGGAACACGGTGCGGTTTTTCTCTGTGATGGCCCATGCATTCGGAGCGCAGGCCATTCGGAGGTCATCAACGTGGATGGCCATCACGCCACAGAGCTTCCCATTGAGGTGCAGCACAAATGTTCCGGGAGACAGTTTCAACTCCTTCAGGCCCAGGCCAACAAGACCACGGTGGACCACGCTTCAAGCGAAGGTACCACCTGCAGTCGAGGGCTTTCATCAAGTCCGAAGCCTTCCTTCGTGAGCCGGACCAAGTCGATCCTGATGCTTCCGGCTCTCCCTTGGCTCAGGCGCTTCCGGAGGCGCTCGCAAATTTCTTCAGGATATCCACGTGGCATCTTGACGGTTAGGGTTTAGGGTTTAGGGTTTAGGGTTTAGGGTTGATGTACAGCACCCGTTCCATCATCTAGTCGTTCTGCTTGAAGAAAAGCGGAAGAAATGTCGGCATACTTCATCCCCCATCCCATCTGTGCTGAGATGAAGCATACTAAGTTGTGTCCCGCCAGACTCGGCGTAGGGGCCTCTGTAGCATACTTTCCTGCGAGGACCCATCTAGCTCGAAGGTTGGCCTTCTCCAGTGCAGGGTCATCGCTCTTGTTCGCCAACCGGAAGCCGGAGGGCAGGACCTTCTCGGGAGGCACGGGCATTTCCAGAGGCACAGGCTCAATGGCATCATTGTCGGCGTACACATCGATAGCCTTCTTGAGGGGAGCCACGAAGGCTTCCTTCCAGTCTTGGTCCAGGCTGTTCCACTTAAACTCTTGCCTGGGCTTTCCTGTGACCGGCTCCTCAATGCTCTGCATGGGAGCGTTCTTGGAGGCCTCAATGATCTTCGTCGTCACAGTGTCCGTAATCTCGGAGATGTCCGTGACACATGCAGACCGCCCGTGGTGTCGGGCAGCTTGCAACATCCATCCAAGCGCCAGCTCCAGTAAACGTGAAAGATTCCGCGACCTCGATGACTCGCGGGAGCTGGCGGAGGTGGCGGATCAAGTCCTTCTTGCTGTTGTGCGGCCCGGGATCCTGGCTCGTACTTCTCCAGAACCTCCTTCATTCTACTCAAGTGGGAGCTTGGGTTCGGTCTCGAGCTTCTTTCAAACCTCACTCGTTTGATGTTCTCGGCGGGGAGGGCGAACCCTTCACGCTTGTCCCGGTGTAGCTGGGCCGGTACATCATCAAGCACAGAAACCCTCCTTGATTCACAGGTGGTTCAGGAGGCTCGTCGACGCTATCACTATCATCACTGAACTCCAAGGGCTCAGCCATTCCTTCGGCGGCCGGCTCATCGGACATCTCCTCCACCTCGGGGCGTCCACGGTCCAATAACTCCTTCTTGAGCTCCTTCAGCACCTTGGAAGATTCCACCTCCTCGACTGCGCACATATTCCAAAAAGAGGCCCTTGAGCTTATTCCGGTAGCGCAGCCACACGCGGCGGATGGCAGCTTCTCGTCGTTCGATCGCTGCAACCACCGCTGGCCCGGACGGGGTAGGCCTCATCGTGAAGCGGGCGGCTCATAGAAGTAGACACGGGCGCACTCATACAAGAACTCCATCCTTAGGTGTCGCATCTTTGCATTGACGGCCTTCCGGAGCGTCTCATTCGCATCCATCCAGATGAAAGCATGCTCGGCAGCATGCCGAATCTGCTCATTCCTCTTCCGGGCTTCGTCGAAGGCGAGGTCCTGGTTGATCACGTACCGGAGGTGGCCTTTCTCCAGCCGATCCAGCAAAGACGAAGGGATGGCAACGTCCTTCCCGAGCACAATCTGGGTTGGAGAAAAGCCCGCAACTCGGGCTTGTCTGTTTCGCGCCGCCGCGGCACTCGCTGGAAGTGGAATCTCAGATGGCTGATGCTTCTATTCGGGCGACAAGTGGCAGCACTGTGGGGCCACCTGAGAGCAGCGAGACAACTTTGCAACGATCCGCGCCAGGCTCATCTGATTCACGGAGCCCCGATCGCATCCGACGCCCGACGCCCACTCACGCAGAAGCTTAAGAGGGGAACAGGCCAAGGGTGTAAGGCGCTTGGACTGATCACCTTGGTCGCGGCGTGGCAGGCCCAATGTTTGGTGCTGGAGGTGTTTTCCACTGGACTGGGGAAGGAGACACGCCACCGACTTGGAGACAATGCCGGCAGCTGCGCGACAAGGTCCTAGAGGCCAAGCCGGATGTGTTGGTGCCGTGTCTTCCTGCAGGCCCGTGGTCGCCCTGGAGCTCTGCTACTTCCACGACCGCTTCTCAGCTCCGAGAACAGAAAGCGCTACTGGCCATTGTGGAACTTGATCGGAGAGCTATGGGCGGATTAGTGCCAAAATCACCGCTTGTCACATGAGATGAGGCAGCTCCACACCGAGTACTACTCTGGACGGAGGCCGCCGAGGCCAGGATCCTGGACTTTATGTTGGGGATCAGAGGCGTGAGCCTTAGGCCAAGGTGGACATGTGTCAGCGGGGAGCTGTTGGCCCTGAAACCAACGGCCGTTCAAGAAGTCCTGCAAAATGGAAGTGAATGATCCTTGGCGGTGTGCCCCACCTGACCGTGGCCCAGCAATGGCCCCTGGAGTGGTCACGACACGTCGTGGACTCGGCCCAAGGAACCATGGAAGCAAGAAGGGTTACAGCGATTCTGGCCTTGCGCCAAGAATGCCCTCAAGAAGTGGAGTAGGAGACGGTTCCCGTAGAGCCTACAGAATGGAACCGGCTACCAGTACGACTACATCTACTTCGAGGGCGCCAGTGCCTCCCTCACGACTCCGGAACACTCTGGCGAAAGTACATGTGGCTTTGAGCCACATCTCACAGGAGAAGCTCAACAGATGATCCACTTGCAAGGTGCCTGGCCTAGGCTCACGTCATTGCAGCCGTGAGGGACTTGAGATGTCAGGTTTGTCAAGCCGTCACTGCATCTCGACCTCCAACGAAGGCGGCTTTATGGAAAACCGCAGTGGTTCAATGCCTTCTCCCTATACCAGGTGGCTTCGCTGATGCCCACGGCGAAGTCCGACTTGGTGGCCCACTTCATGAAGAACTACTGGATCGGTGTCTTTGGGCCCCCGGACGTTTTCATGAGCGATGGCGGCTCGGAGTTTGCGGCCGTGACCGAATCCTTGATGCGCGCCTATATGTGTCCCATCAGGTGGTCCCGCCAACAGCTAAGCGGAGAATGGGCCTCGTGGAGAGGACGGAGCTGCGTGATCTGTCAGGGCCTTCACTTTCGGGGTTCCGCCGCGAGCCTTCGTCGTAGTGGCCGTAGTGGCGGTCGTTGCGGAAGGTGAAGAGCTTGACTTCGGGTTCCTGGGCGTCGCTGTCCTTCTCGTAGATGTCCCCGGATCGATCTCCTCCTCCGCATCCTTCAGCGCGTCCACATCGATCGTCTCGTCGTTCTCCTCCTCGAAGTCGTCCTCTCCATCCAGGATCGGCTTGTCCAGCTCTATGTCGGCGACATCTGGCATAGCTTCCATTCGTGCTCCAGCTCCTCCACACGGCGGGTCACCCAGCATGCCTTTGTCGCCTTCGAGCCTGCGGTGTAGATCGTGGTCGGGTCCATGTGCTTCCACAGCTTCTCCTCGAGCCCCGCAGCGCGAGCCTCGAGTTGCGCTCTGGTGATCCTGGTGTCCGGCGGCGTCGACGAGGCCGCACTCCTCGATGATCGGGGATCCCGGAGTCGGTGTGGAAGGAGGGCCCGCTCTTATTTTTCTCGTTCTTGTGCCCGGCTGGCTTGCGGACCTCGGCAGACTTGGACCTCACGCGTTCCGCCGACTTCGATCTGGCAGTCGCCATCGGGTGTCTCACAGCCTTTTTTTGCGCGGCGAAGTGACGGGGCGCATGCCCTCATCCACTGTCGTGCTCCTCCTCCTCCTCCTCGAGCCTGTGTCCAGGCGGTGCCGCTGGGGCATCTTGGCCTCTCGCTTCTTGAAGGTTCCTTGGGCTGAGGAGGGGCTTGATTCGAATTGACAGGAAAGGAAATTCCCATGGAGTCGGATTCACCAACGCATCCGCTGAAAGAGCCGGGAGTGCGGTAGAGAAAGATCGCTGTGGTGTCAAGCTTCTGACGCAAGGCTTCCGAATGCATGTGCTCTCATCCACAACTTCATCCAGCAACTGCTGTCCCGTCAAAGTGTGATAAACAGCACGACGCACCATGTCGGCCCAGGACCTCAAACCCAAAGAGGGAGCTGGGGATCTGTCTTCTGTGGCGGGGTTCCCCTCACTGACATAGACAGGGACAGCCTCCAATGCTCTCTTGGAACTCAGCAATGGGCACGGCATAGTGGCCTCCATAAGTTTCAGCAAGGGCCGTACTTCAGAACTCTAAGCTTCTTCGAGGAAACAGTGCTGTTCTCGGTGTCGATTACAAAACCAAGTTGCAAACATGCAGGCTTTGACAACAAAGGAGGACAATCTCCCGGAACCACACTGACTCGATCACTTGTATCCCCAAGACAGTGGCCTCAAGGATGAAGGATAAGCAGCTTTTGAGTTCATGCCCATCCCCAAAACGAAAACTCTCTGACTAGGTAGGAAGCCCATGGGGACCAGGGCCACTCATCGCACCCTGGAGTACCGACATGGCCCGGCTCATGGAAACCAGACCGGCAAACACCACTCCAACAGGGATCCCACGACGAAGATCACAAAAAACTGAACCCCGTATCGGAGCTCCGCTGCCACACAAAAATGCAGCCGGCAACTGAATCAATACCCCTCCCCGGGGCATCCCGTGAGCTCATCTTGCACAGTCCACAGCTGGAAATATTCGAGAGTTCGACAACAATTAGCATATTACGCGCCCTATGACTTCGTCGCTCCCGGCTGCCAAGCCGAAACAAACGGTCCGGTACAGTGCTGAATGTGCATAGGCATATTCATGAAGACACACACACACAGAGAGAGAGAGAGGCACCCATGTTTGCGCTAGCCGTATGGTAGACCAGTAGACAAAGCTAATACGCGTTGACCATCGCACCTTTGTGTGGAACATTCAATTGGAGAGAGTTTGACTGGCACAGGAACCTCCCAATTTCAGGGTGCAGGGTCACACTTTCCAAATATGCTCCACAACCTAACCGAGTGCTCGAAGCCGTGCAGGCGAGCTTCTATGCTGCAGTCAAAAAGACCGACCATAAGCCAGGCAGAGGTATCCGAAGCCGACGCGATCATTCGGACCGCGAAGGACATCGCAGGCAATCCTCCGCCAATCACATGCACTGGTCATGTTCGTGCATCTGTTTTGTTCTTTCAGCAGGTGGCACTGTAGCCATCATGAACTGGCCTGCAACGACCATCCTTGTCAGCATCGGGCATTCCGCCCACAGTGGATAAATTACCTGCAACTGGTTTGGAGAAGGAACTTCCATCTGCTCGATGTTGCTACATCTGCACTCGGTGGCACACGATGTCCCAGTCTCCTACAATCATGCCAGCACGACGTTGCCCATGGATCGCTTGGCTGTTTAAAACAGCTAGCAGCTAGCAGCTAGCGCGGCACCGGAAACTCTCTTGCTCTTGAGCAGGGTGAGCAGGCATGCATTGCAACGCAGGTCCACACCAGAGTTCGCGTTTCCCGGCAGCTATGCACTGTCGTCGGCCCTGGCGCTTCTTCGATCAGAGTTCGCTCGAAACATGACGATAATATCGAGAATTTCCACAAGATATTCCCTGAACATCAGCTGCACTTGGGTTGAGTGCTCCATCGAGCGAGAGACGAGAGAGGAGTTGAGCGCTCATGCAAGCGAGACTGAGGGTGCGGTTTGGGTGAGGGCAATGGGAAGCAGCTCGGCTGAACTCGTGCGGTCGACATCCACAGCCCTGCGAGCCTGTTTCCCTCACCGAATGCTCGCGAACTGCTGCAGCTCACGGGTCTGAAGTTTGAGAGGACACACCTGGGAAGTTCAACACGAGCCATGGCACATGCCAGAATCTAAAAACCATCAGTCCCCTCAGTCCGACCTCCCTAGGCACATCCGCACTGGAGCGCGTCGCACTGCGGGGGCCAGCACCTGGCAGAGGTTCAGCGCTCGAAAGTCTCTGAAGGATCTCCGACAGATCTCCGACCTTGATTTGGCGAATGTGCTTGTCGCGCCCATTCCTTAGCACAACACTTTGCCAGGGCTCCCATTGTTGAAAAATTTCCTTGCACGACGAGGTGCTGATGATTGGTCAGCACGGCCAACCTTGGTTCGGCTGCATGCAGGATTCAGCTTCGTCTGCTGGCAAGGCCGTTCAAGAGCCCTGTATCGTCAGCCCAGGCTGCTGGATGAAATGCGTGCGGACAAATTCTCGAGCACCCCCCATCTTGCTGTCGCGCAAGGTACAGCTTGGCGGCAGTTCCTTGCTGATAAAAAGTACGGCTGGAAATGCAATGAAGACATAGCAGGCATGCAAAGGACATGTACCCTCAAGCCCAAGCCCCCTTGCCAAAAGCATGGAAAGCATGGAGCATCACTCGTCATATCCAAGGCTTGAACTTACTTGTTCCGCCGTATGGCATGGTGCGAAGGGCTGTAATTTTTCCTCATGGACAGAACCCCTGCATCGCTAGCCCGCCAGGCGTCCACAGGTCGAAAGCTCGGCTGGGCGGGAGGTATCGTGATCCAGCCTCAACCGGAACTTCGTTTCCTTCCATGTTGTCATTGCATGAGGCTATTGTGGGTACGCTAAGCGGGCGGAGTGTTCCGAAGCCCCTGCTTGAGCAGCCATGTGTTTCGACGCCCACACCCACATGACTTAGCGTCGTGCGGTCGGGCTCTTTCAGCTCCACCACCTGGACCTGCTGGCAAGTGTGTACAGTTCTGCCGGCAAAGCTGGTGGAGACTTTGGAGACATATCGTCCCACATGGCTGCTTCTCAAAAGCTTTCGTGCTGCTTCACGAGCACGATACCAATGTGCGATGGACAAGCCTCTTGTAGATCGTGGTGTGCGGTGCCTATTCTGACCGATATTCGTGACGGTGTATATGACCTCAGATCTTAGCAAAGGCTCTCGAAAGCTCCGGTTCATCACAATTCGCACATGACTTGGTGCGTGGCTCGTCGATCTTGAAACACACATAGAAACAGATTTCGCTGACCTTGACCTGTCAACCGAAGGTAAAAAAATTTCATCCAACTGCCATCAGACACGGCCTAGCGCTGGAACTGTATGTTTGTCAAGTACGGCCTCAAGTGCACTGTAGCTGCTAGCAACAGTGTTGCACTAGCCCGGTGTTCGGGACAGGACTGGGGTCCGTCCGACTGCCGGAGGGTGTCAGTGCTGCCATCACGAAGCTGCTCCACTTGGCCAGAAAATCGTGCTGCAACAAATTCGGAAAGAGAAACCCCACTCGCTTGCAGGTGCAGGCCGCAGGATCAGAAGAAATAGCATCGAGATTTGCCTTTCCCAGGCCCTTCTACATCAAGACCTACAGTAAACCATCCCGAGGCCCGTGCAGCAAGCTCTGAGACTGCTCAATCGCTGACAGACGTACGAAGGGTACTTGAGATTCTCTGAAGACCACGGCAAGAACCGCACAGAACCCAAAAAGCCTGCAATTAGCGACCAGGCGGCCTCGGGGACGAGGTCCCGGAAGTCCTAGCTGGGACCTTGGCCGCCTAGGCCCGACGCTGCCGTCGCTGCGGACGCCGCAGCAGAACGCACAGGGGCCTTGCTTGGACCCTCCGACATTCCGCTCTAAAGGCTGTATATCGCTTTACCTCACGCTGAGGTCTCTCCCTCGGGCCCTGCCTGTTCAGCGTCCTTGTGGTTTTTGGATCTGATCTTTTTATCTATGAGCCGCAAATGTTGCGAAATTGCGACGCAGGCAAAGCTTCCGCTTCATACTTTCCGAATACTTTCCTGCAGCTCGGCAGCATGGACTGTCGGCTTCGACCACACGTGGCAGTTCTTTTACGGATAAAGCTTGGTCGGACGACAGGCCCTCGATAAGGAAGGCTGGATTTTATTCCCCCTTGAAGGGCTTCGAGCACATGATCTTCAAAGGAGGACGACATGGAGTAGGGCACTGCACAACTCGCATGCAGTCTTCAAGCACACAGGGTCTGGCCCCTTGCTGCAGATTGATTGCTTTCGGCTGGCAGTCGAAGTGAAGGTACGAGGGTCCCAGACTTTGCTCCTGAATGCAATTGTCTAGGCAACCTGGCATGTGTTGACAGCACAGGTGCTGGGGGAGATGTTGCATGCCTACAGCGGACAAGACCCCAGCATTGAGGGCAATTCTCTGCTCTATGACTCTATGACTGCCAATACACATCTCACGATCGGCAAGGGTCCCGGAAAGGCACGCTTGGCATCAATGCTCGAACAAGATGGGTATGGGGGCTCTGCACGCATTTGCGGCAGCGAGAACTGATTAGCCCGCTGAAGTAATGCAGCACAAATCAACTTTGCAACCTGCACTTCCTGTCTGCAGGTGAGACCAACAGAGCACATGTTGCTATCGTCTGCTGCAGCCCTCACAGGACATCTTGAACAGTCTCGGTTGTTGCTTAGGGCTGCGCGGGCTGCAAAGAGCTACTGCATCTGCAAACACCAAGCCGCAGGCATCTCATGGCCGGACGGCAAGTCTGTAAAGAGACCAGGTACACGTCTATGTTTCGGATTCCAGGATCAAGGACACACCAGATTTTACCGCTGTTAGCACTCGGGTTCTGCTTGCACACTGCAAGCTCCCAAATCTTGGATCTATATCTTTACATGAAAACTAATGTCCTACAACTCAGATCATCTCTGCGGGAACTGATTGCCTGCAAACGCCACCCGTGAGTTCAGTCGCAGCAGCCGCAAGACTCAAGCTACCTGATTGACCTGCTGTCGCAAGAATGAATGTCCGAGCCTGCGAAGAACTCCTACAGAAGCGCTTCTTCATCACAGATGAAGGGAATCCACCTGAATGAGGCATGCGCGGTTGCTGTAGCTGCCATGTGTATGTTTGGGTTCTCGCGTGAAACAACGGCTATGACAGCTGCCTTTCAGCTTTCTAACGGACCTGGAAACGAAACAAGTTGCTTCCGAGGCACATACGAGTCCCAAGTGCCATCCCACTCGCTCGGTGGCGGCACTTCAGCCAAGGTGGCGCAGCGCTTCGCCATCCTTCGCACCATTTCACACTGCTAACACTCTGAGCGACAATAGCACATCACTCCAAGTCGTGCAGCTCAGGTTCAAAGAAGATGGAACGTCATCTTCCCCATTAAAATCAGCCAGGATGGTGTTCACCTGCTCAAACTTGCGTGCCGCGCTGGAAAACCTCGGAAGACACGAGAGGTGCTGGGCCCACTGGTCGTCTCCCGACCATGTCGATCCGGCTACTACTACTTTTAGGGAGCCCATCATGCTCCAAAAAGGCAAGCCCCACTCTGGCGGCCTCTGGTGACCATGTCCAAAGGGCGATCTGCTACCGCTGCTAGCATTCTCTTTATTTGAGCTTGGTGCAAGCTAAGTAGCTCCTTGCGCCTGTACTCACAGATTCCCTCTGCATGCAGCGAGATGATTCGCTTTAATGGGCTCGATGGCCTTGGCATTCGTTGCTCTTCCGCTCGAGAAATTGCGAGGAAGATTCACACACAGCTCATCGCTTCCAAACTTGCATCGAAGAGGCTTTTTCGTTTTCATCGGCATTACCTGGCAGCTTGTTTCGTTGGGGAAGGATGCTGCGAGCACTTTTCTTGGGACCACTGGCTAGCAATAGGCTTTCACCACTCGTGTACAACACGGAATATGGATGCATGATCCTACTGAACTCATTTCGCTTTGCTCAGCCTCCTTGAGCACGAACCGAATGAAATGCAAGCCCTGCCTCGTGCACAAGTTCGCTCGTGCACTTCTCCTGTACCTGCATCGAGCTTTGCGGGACTTCTGAGTCAGACCGTCGACGGAAACTTTCAGATGCGATCATTTGGCGGACATGGAAAGACTGTCCCCTCCGAGAACATGGGTTGGCCCTGCCTGTCTTAGATTCACGAAGTCCACGGGGCGAATGAAGAATTCACTCGGATCCAGCATCTCATAAGTGCTGTCCTGATGCGGTTTGCAGCACCCGAAGATATCGATCGAGAACAAAAGCCGGCCGCTGGCATCAGCTTGCCATGGCCGAGCATCCGATATCAGTATCCGCGTCTTGTACGTTTTGTTCATCTCCTGGCACCGTTCGCTTGCGAAGCCTGGGGCCTAGAGAGTCTGCCTTGAATCTTGTAGTGTTGTAGAAATCTAAATCCAAGCCCAAGTTTGGGCCTCCAGCTTACCTGCAATGGTGGACTCTTCGCCTTAGCTTCGCAAGTGATGATCGGATCAGGGCTCATGTGTTCACCTGGATGCCGTCACGTTGCCCACGATGCCGTACTTCATGCGGGAGGAGAAGCCCATGTTGCCAACAAGCACATTGCCCGTGTGAATTCCACACCTCAGGAGACTCACATGTTGCGACAGGCCCGCTATCGTTGTCCAAGCAATGCTTGTAGAAGAGCCACACGCCATGCCCCCGGCTTTTTTGCTGCTCGGCCAGAGCTGCGCTTCGTCGAGCGAGAGAATCACTTCCACCAAACGTGTTCCTCGCTGCAGCACCGCAAGAGCTGCGTGGCCTGTCTCAGGCTCCGGGTTGACATCTTCTTCCGCACCATCGCCGCAGCATTTCGTGCAGTAGTCAGCTTCTGTCGCTGCAATCTGTCGCAGCGCTGATGCCATAGCTTGGCATGCCGCATGGTTGCCAGTCAAGTCTCCCTGCCGATGCAGCCACGGCGCAACAGAAGGTTCTTCCTCGTTTGCCGTCATGAGTGCAGGAAAGTCTGCCGATTCCGCAGACTCCTCCAAAGCTTCCGCTGCCTTGACTATCCAATTGCGATCGACTTTGCCGCCGGGTTGGGAACCCAATTGCCGGAGGAAGGTATCGTGAAGCTCTGCATGAAGCTGCCGCAGCTGAGGCTCACAGCTGCTCTCTAGAAGCACTACGGAGGCTGCCGGCATGCCACCGTCAGCAGCCGCCCAAAGCTCCCAAAAGGGATCCACAAGCTCGGCTGCACCGCTCTGGTGGGTCTGGTGTGGCAGGAGAGGCTGGCGATAACCCAGCAGTGGGAAGACGAAGTCACATCGTGAGCATTCTCGGTCTACTAGCTCTATTCGAAGTGCACGCTTCGCTTGCCAGGGAGGTAACTCGGGTGTGTCTGCTGAAGCGAGTGCTGGTAAACCATGCAAGACCTCGGCTTCGAGGTCCTTTGCCAATGCATGGAGTAGCCGTGCAGGGAGGCCACCGACTAAGAGAAGGCCTTCAATGCGGCAGAGCTCAGCAACCGCATCCGAGACCTCTCCCGAGACGAGCAAGGCCTCTGTACCGCGCTCTGCCAACATGCGAATCGCCTCCGACACTTGCTGTCGTTCACGAAAACTAGACAGCAACAGAGTGCCTGCATTCTGAAAGACTTGCTCTTTCGTTCGTCGCTGGGGTGGGGCACAAGAGTCGTAGGCTGCAGAGACAAGGTCTGCGTCCATGCAAACACTTCGCAAGAACTGCTTTCTCATACTCGCCATCTCCTTAGCATTCGTGAGTTGGCGCATCATGCCACTGGGGCAAGACACATAACACTGCGGCACGCGGCAAGCAATGCCTCGGAAAAGTCGCATCTGTGGCTGCCGCACCAGCTTCTGACGTCCGTAAACAAAGCAATGCTGGCTCTCAACAGGGCCATTGTGCCTTCGACACAACTCTGCGCAGATGTCATTCACCTCAATGCTCGCACTAAGATCAGAGGACCCTGTTGGACTGTTGCCTTGTTTGCCGGCCGCGACGTGCACTTCGGCGTCTGTCTGAGGTGGCTCTTCGATGGCGGTGAAGAACCAGCTCACATCGTCTTCGTCTCCAAGTGCGGCCATGTGGTTCTCTGCAATGTGGATCTTGCATGAGCTCGGAATGCCAATACGCATTTTCTCTATGGCTGCTTCCGCGATTAAACCAGCACACCTTAAGCCGCTTTGCAACGTCCAAACTGACAGGCCTGACCTTCGCAAAGCTGCTGCCTCGGCCAGGAGTGCAGAACCCAAGACCACAAGTCTCGCCTGTTCACGGCGACCAAAGTGTGCTGCTGCCAGTCCATCCATGGCTTCGCGCAAGAGCTCCACAGCCACCATATCTAAACCGTGTGCATCCACCACTTCTGCGGGATCGCAAGAGAGGACCAGCTCGTCTTCACACGCTGAGGACACGATCTTGAAAGTTGACCGCTGGGGAGATGCGGAAAATGGAAGTACAGATGCTGCCAAAGTCTTCAACACCGTAGCGCAAGAATCCAAAGCATCCCACGCGTCGCACTCCCGCATTCTGGACTTCCAGAAGGATCGCGCCCAAGCGGGAAATTGCCGTCAGAGCAGAAAAATGTCTTGGGACGCATAAAGTGCGAGCTCAAGGACTCGTCGACAGCTTTCCTACTCACTTGAAATGACCTCACCGCAACAAGAACTGAGGTGGACCGAACGGACCTCGAACTGGAGACGGACACACTAGCACATGTCAGCACCGTACAGGCGCTCCATCTGGAACTCCGCAATGAGACGAGCTCAGAAGCTTCAAGCTTGGAAGCCCCAGAAAGCCCGAGACTCTTTGAGACCGGCACAAAAGGGCCCCTGAATGACAATGCCGCCTATGCTATGCGCAACAGGAGCCTGGCCTGATGTTCACTTCAGGGAGGCGGTGCTCGCGGCACCAGTCCCGGATGCGCCGGAGGGCCCCGAGCATGCGCAGGGCAGCCTAGAAATCCGAAAACGTCTCTTGCATCGCCAGGTATCTCTAGTCGTTCCTGCCGGCCTCCACCGCCAAAGTGGGATGGCGCTCGTTTTCTAGAGGTGCACCGTAGATACACTGGATCGCATCACCGATGAACTCCAGCACAACACCGCTGTGATCGTCGATGACCTTCACCAGATCGCTTGGCATTAGTCCGTGGACTCAAGGACTCTGCTAGTATCACTCTCTTGGAGCCTTGGACATGTCATTGAAGTAGCGGCTGAGAAGAACCAGGCAGGCAGCCGGCTCGATGCTCTCCACCTTAGCGCTCCGGTGAGCCCCGGGCCCCGCGAAGCTGTCAAAAGGCGAGAAGGAGCTTTAAGCAGGCGGCTATCGTTGTGAAGTTCGCGATGTCAGAGAAGAACATGGTCACCTGAGTGAAGTCTCATGTGCAGAGTCTTAGACTTTCCACAGAAAGATGGCATTGCACAGAGGGAGAGCAAGGTGCCTTCCGTTCCCTGACCTCGAGCTTGGCCTCCTCGCCATCTCTCAGAAGCAGCTGCACAACCTGGGGCCACAGAACTCTTTGTCTGAGGCATCCTACGCCGAATCTCAAGTCAAATCGAATACCATTGACTGCATCTGGGCACCGGCAGCGGAACGTACTTGCCCCACGACCGAACAGCTTTCTTCATGTTGTCGAAAGTCCTGCAGACCCGTTAGTCGGTTCGCACAATTCTCAGCTTTGGAAAGCAAACGCGCATCTCCGTCTCGCCTCCTGATGAGAAGCACCTCGCTAGTCTCGGGCTCCCCCCCAGCCTGCAGATTCCCAGACAAACTTGGCACCGACCCGCAAGAAACTCAGCCTTCGTGAGCCATCTTTACTAGGGTCTGATGTCAACTGGTGCCGACACCTACACTCCCTTAACACTCCATGGCAAGCCTCTTCCTCGCTTCCAACACCGGCAAACTGCGCGATGCTTTCCATGTCATCGGCAAGATCACGCAAAGGCCTGCGATTCGGCTCACTGCAAGCGACCCGGGCTGTTGTGTCTGCAGCCTCAGCAGATGGTGGGAGAGGAAAGTCAAATCCCTGGTCAGCAAGACAATTCCGGCGAGGATGATGACAATGACCTGAGGGCAAAAGGAAACAGCTGCGTAGTGGGAAGATCGCGTGAGCAGTGAAAGCCAGAATGAGAACACAGAGAAAAGGATTGGCAAAGCTGCTGAGGCTGTAGTCAGCAGCGACATCCATGCCTTTCAAATCACTCGGATTCCAAACAACTGCTCATCTAGGCTAGACCGTGCCTCTGTCGATGTTCTGGCACGGTCAAATATCACCGCAATGGCAGTTGTCCGAAGCCTAGTCGAAGCGTGAACTGGACCAGAGAAAGCGCAAGTTGTAGTCATTTCACAACTCTCGAGAGACTCAGTATGCACCAGAACGGCTGAGCTGCTCTAACTCTTCTGCAGAGACTTCACTGTCAGAGAAGTCCTCAGTTTAGGCACTCTGACCAGGACCAGTGCTGCAGGCGCGGGCCAGACACCCTATGAAGAACGAGGGACTGGAAAGCGCAGAAGTACCAGGTCCACTTGCCTGACTCCGCACAACGGCAAAAGGCATGAAGCTGGCATCGATCTCAGTCTTGAGATGCACTTCACCGTGAGTCAGAACCCGCGTGCCTGATTCCGGTGTTCCTCACTTCGTCGTCCAAGTCGTTCAGAACACGCCGAGGCCCTTTGAAGGACTGAACGGAAGAGCAAGAGTCACCTGGACACATCCACTGCACAAGAAACGGCATACAGGCGGAAAGTCTAAACTGCGTTCTGACAAGCCTGAGGAGATCTCATCGCAGTACACCTCCGGTAACAAATCTCTCGCAGCATGCTCGGGCCTATGCTTACGAGGAACTCGCCTTCTTGTCCAAATCTAGATAGAGCAGCGATCTTGTGCCGATGCTCTTCTCCATCGCATGAAGCCACACCTGCCGGATAGCTGCTCACAAGACCCAGAAGCCTGCAGTAACTGTCATGATGCACAAGGCCTCAACCTGTTCTTTGACAAGTTCAGGCACTTCAGCATTGTCTGTGATGTCGGGAAACTCTTTTCGAACCTCAGATGTCTAAATGCTTATATGCTTGCGTGAATACTCGCCTCGCGACACCAGAAGCTGTCCGCACTGCTGAAGGAAAACGCCGTCCGACAGTTGGAGTGCCCATTTCCACCAGTGTGCGCTAATGGCCCTTTGCAGCCAAGGCTGCCAACTTGTCGCAAAAACCCAGGCCACGAAGTGCCGAGTTGTTGGTAACCGTGGGTTCGATGATGTTGAGCACGAAGAGAAGCCTCGAATGGGCCACGGGCCAATGCCAGCTTTGTGAAGCGATCAGACCATCCGGGCCAGGGGACGCCAGAACACCCAGCGCCACCTGGACGGCCACATATTCCTCAGCCGAGATGCAGATGAGAACCAGACAGTCCCATCCCCATGAGGCCCCTCAACTACTTCAGCCAGATGTCTGCGTGCCGTGAGGTAAGGTTCTTCATGTTGCTCGCCTGCTTAAGCTGCTGCTCGCAGGAGCGGCGGAGCTTCTCTTCCACCCATTTGTCTTCCAACATCAGCTCTTTGAACGCCTTGGAAACAACCCCGTGCAACCGCATGTTGCAGCTGCAAGGGTGTGTTTTCCTTCGGCCGCTTGCTACGAGTATCTTGCAAGCCAAGCATCTTGGAAATCAACAAGCCCAATTTCCTCTTCCTCCTCATCCGGTGTTTGCTTCGTCAGCTGGGATGCCGTGCTCGTTGCCAGACTCACCTGCCGAACACGACGGTAATGACGGTAACACAAGCGTGGGCTCTTGTTTGAGCTTGCAGTCACGAGTTAAACTCCAGTAGCGACGCGCTACTCAGGCAAAGGGCGTGCCTTCATCCTGGCCTGCACTGTGTGCGCCCGGCTGAGAGGTGACCGCCGACGAGGGCCTCAGCTGAGCGCTCTGAGAGCGCTCCGTTTTGACATCTTCTTCTGCGATCTTTCCCGATCCTGCGCACTGAAGACTCCCGTCCTCAGACAGGCCCCATTTCTGCATCCCGGCTGCTGGCATGGCTGCTTTCCGGCTTGGGCGGAATGCTCTGATTCTCGCTGCAACAGGGCGTTGGAAGCGCATCCAATGGACCTGCGGCAGGCAGTGTACGTTTGCTTTCACCGTCTGGGCACTCTTCTTCAAGTCCCAGAAACTTCCGGGACCTGGTCCGGAAGTAGCTTGCGATGGGTTCGGTGATTCTGGCTCGAAGTCAAACTCCAGCCGCTGCGATGCTTTCGACCTGCACCACGTGCATCCCTTGCATCCCTTGCATCCGTGACTATCTCAGCGGCAACAGGAGTCGGAGCTAAATTCAGTTGCAACAATCTGTTCCGAGCTTCTGGAAATACAGATTTGGGATTCACTGCACGTGTATCAAACCCCAAGTCGCAAGCTCTGCCTGGCACCCTCGGAAACGTGCTCTGACCGGTTCGCCTGCGGCGGGTATCCGAGCCAGGACTCCGCTACTCAATCAGGTCCCTTCTCGAGCTGAACCCGCAGCGGGCACGGCCTTCGTGCCCAGACGTCTCATGGCACCAAGCGTGCTCGCAACCTGTCCGAGTTGCGGCGCTGCACACATCCAAGGAATGGGCAAGGGCCTTGGACTTCATGAGGTTCACAAGGGCGACCTGCTCGTCGGACGCATCTCCTGCCTGAGAGGACACTCTACATCGCATACGTGTGGACGGAGAAAAGAAGCAAAGTCACCTGAGTCAAACTCGGGCCTTGAGCTCGGCCACAACGCTCGGCACTGCGACGCGTGAGACGAGCCCATCCATATCGCTGTCCAAAAAGTTGAAGACGCGTCTCAACCTTGACTGTGGCTCTGGCATCCTCCTCAAGCTCGGAAGGCTACTCTAAGGCATCCGCTTCTTGTCGAGGACACGATTTGTGTCGTTGACTTTGGCACGCTTGGAACCTCAAGTGCAGCCCAGCGCTGTGGATTGCAACGGCTCCAAGCGGAAGAGAAGACGGTGAGGAGATCTTTTGCGTCCAGGTCGCAAACTTTGCCAAGCCTGCACAAAGTTCTGAATTTCCATGTCGTACCAAAACCTAGACATCCCAGCAATAGAATCCGTGGGTGGACCTCTGCATACCCAAGCACTTGAGACGTGGTTGGCAGAAACCCTGCATAGTCTAAATTGCAAAAGGATGTCTCACATGCACCTCGCAGGCTTGGCGGCTCCACCTAATTGCGAACCCTATTGGGTGAGAGCGAGACCGGCGTGCCTTGGCATCAGAGCGGCCACACGGACGATGCGGGTCAGCCGATTCAGTCTCGTCGCCTACGAGAAAGAAGACGAAGTCTCTGCAGATGCGCATGGACCGTGAGGCGGTGCCTTCGAGGAACGTGAGGCAACACGCAGCAGCCTGGCCGACTCTGTGAAACGTCTCGCGCGCGAAAGGCAACTGCAGCAACAGCACGGACCGAAAGGGTGCTAATCTGTTCCCTGTGATGTTTCAGACTCCAGTGTAAAAGCATGTAGAAGCTCGTCCAAAACAACCTGCCTCGCCAGACGCGAGGACCGCCCAGCAACAAAGGCCTCCAGGAGTGCATGCTGAGGGCAGTTGAGGTCGCAGACTGCGGGCTGGGTGGAGATTCGGGTGGGTATTGCAAGAGAGATTCTACGTCTGCCGTCGTGTCTGAGCCTGGTTGGACTCAAACACGGCTTTGAAGAGCCATGTGTCCGGCAGCAGCGAGATCAAGGCGATCACATCGAGCCAGAAGTATGCACCAAAAACATACCTGGGGTCGCATTTTGGATGAAGTTTGGATCCGGCATTGTACCAAGTGCTGCAAGCCACCCTTTCTTCCCGAAGCACTGCACAACGATCTCAACGAGGAAGAGGAAGCAAGCAACGGTCATCACCACACCTTGCACAAGGCGGGCTCTCGACAAGCTGATATGCTGGAGAACCCCCCGAAATAGCCCGAAATAGCCCGTCATTTGTGCTGAGGAGCTTAGGAGCTGCTGGGTCTCCACGGTGCCCAGAAGCAAATCAAGATCCGGCACAAAGAGAGCGAAGAGCGTAAGCACCATGAAACCACCCACGAAACATTGGTTTTCCACCTTATCTGCGACACAGAAGAGACTTCGTCGCAGGAGATGCCCCCCCTGCGCGGTACATGTGCCACCAGACTTCGCAACCACCACAACTCTCGTTGACAGCCGGGTAGCGAGTCGATGAATGAAATCCTGAGTATCCGAACATGGCCGCTGCAGTTGCCGCAGTTTGGGAGCTTTGGGCTCCTGTCAGCCAAGGAGCCTTCTTCTTTGAAAGCTCTGCCAACTCCACCGGTTCCCTGACCTTTCTCCTCACCGGGCTTTGGCACATCGGTCTTTGTAGAGAGCCCTTGGACTAAAAGCTCTGCGTGACGGCACGACATCCCATTCTTCACCTTCCTAGCCTCCAAGCACCCGGGGGGAAGGCATGCTAAAGCTTGTCTCGGGTCCAACAAGCAGACAGCCACTGCAGATTTGATCTCGACGCGCGAGGCTTGGGGCGGCTGACCGAGGGCAGCCTCCAATCCCTTGCGAAGCCGCGAAGGCTGTATGCACCCTTCGTGTCCGATGAGTTCTCGGGTTTCAGATCGCCAGGGATATCACAGAACATCATTCTGCCTCAAAAACTGAAGCCGAACAAGTGCCCACAACCTGAATCCTCTAAACCCTTGGGGCTCAGTGCGTGTAGAGCGTAGAGGATTCATGCCTATAGGAATCGATGCTGTCGGTCGCACTCTCGCATCAGCAGTTCCACTTGCCACTTACCCCGCTCTCCCATTTCCGACCATCTGAGATAACTTGACAAAGCCCAGAGACAGTGCTCAGAGGCTTAGATGACGGCGCACAGGGCATCAAGGGTGTGATGCATCCAAGTGCAACTAGCTCATGCTCGGGCGGCACGTCACAAGACGTTTCAATCCAAGCCCGTTTGCTTTTCGCTCAAGATCTTAACCCGAGACTGCACGGTGCTGCAGACAATCACCATTTCTCCTTCCCACAGGCGATGACGGCACTGGCTCGTCCAGTCCATCCTCCTAAGGGCGTTGGATAACAGGCCGAAGCTATGCGCACGTCACTGCCAGGGCGGTCCTGCATCCCAAATTGACCCTGCAGAATCCGTCCAAGGTGATTTCTGGCAGTCGCACTGAGCGGCTGGAATTCAACCTGGGATGGAGCGGAGAAAGGCTGACAGTAAGCCCGACCAAAGAAAAACACACTTGATGCCGTCCATATTGGCGTTCTTTGCCAATTGCCTCCTGCTCGGGAAACACCAACAAACAGACACAAGCAGGCGCTTAACGCGAGCGGTGGGTTTAGATGGTCCAGGCCCTGTCACTTCACAAAGGCGCTGCTTCAAACTGAGACCCGCAGCCATCTCGCCAGAGCTCTTTGTCTCGCGCTTCTGTGCCGGAGCTGACGGGAATCGGCGAGGGTTTTCTGGCCTCTGCGAAGCGTCTTTGGGAAAGCACAGCGAGGGCTGTCAGAGAAAGGGCGGGTAAATTCTGTGAATGTCGATTCTCGCTCATATCATAAGTATGGAGGCATGAGGCTGGTGCGAATCGTGTGGATGATGGCCATGCCAGATCATTGACGGGGCCGACAGTGATCGAACAGGGCGGATCTCCGCATCAGACCATCCAGGTGAATTGCTATCGATCCGGCGACTGTCCCGGCTCCTACAAGATTCGGAATTGTGGCATCAGCAGCCTACGGGCCTATGAACTGGTCAAGGCGAAGCCTTCGCATGCATTGCGTGGGGCATGCAAAGAAAGAGGTCCTGATTGGGAGTGTCTTTTCAGACTTGACCGGGCTGCGGCTGCGGCTGGGGCTCTCCGATTCGGTACCTTGCAAGAAACTCATCTGCCGCTTAGTACTTTATGCCGTAGCTATCCTCAGCGGCCTGCTAACACTGGCAGTGACATCCCGGTTTGGGCACTGCAGCACCACACGCTGCAAGCCTTTCTTCTTACGTGACGTCTGTTTTACGTGACAGCGGTAAACAGGGTTGGCTTTGTTGCTACGTAGTTTGCTTGCCTACAGACACAAGGTCTGTTGCTCACGTAGCTGTGCTCTTGTGGGTTTTGACTTTGTGGCAGTTGAGTTCAGCCCCGGTCACGGACGGCAAGCTTGCCATCATCGCTGCGCGGCAAGGGATGTGACAGCAAGGTGTCGGCCAGCTGAGTCATTCGACTGGTCGACAACCCTGCCACTTAGGAGGCCATCCCGGTACATCGGCCGTGGCAACAACAAATTGTATGCAGACTGCTAGCTTGCCATCGTCGAGTATGCTTTGGCTGTTTTCCGCATATACCTTGAGGGATCTGCTTTGTGCACTGCCTTGAGATGGCGGGTGACGAGGTCTGCTTCGTATTGGTGCTAGTTCCGTCACTAGACCATAGTTTCTGTCCAATCTGAGCACTCAAACTGTTTGATTAGCCTGGCGAGAGCTGTATGCTACCCAGGTCATGGAACTGTGTAGTGCAAGCCTGAGCTGCCTGAGCTGAGAGGCTACGAAAAGACGGCAAGGCTTGCAGATGCTACAGCCTTGTAAATTCTATTGAGATTCAGAGCCCAGCGCTACAAAAAGCAGGAATCGTCATACCTTGATTCTGCGCCGTCCCATTTTGGCTGCAGTTTTTGGGTGCCACCTTGGGCACTGTGGGGGACACTGTACAGCCTTTGCTGTCCCGAGCAAGCATGTAAAGCCGCATAGAAAGCACTCGGGAGCACAACCCGTATCAACTCTCAAGCCTCAGAATTTCACTTCAGAGCTTGTGGGTCTGCATGAATGCCACCCATGAAGGTTCTGGCCTTTGCAATCGGCACAACTGCACAAGTTGACAGGCCGACGGACACTGGGCTCTTCAAGTGGCACGTAGTCGATTCCGCTTCTGTATCGGTGTTTGAGACCCAAGACAATATTCGAGGAGTCGCACGTATTGCAGATGACAAGATCAAGAACAGGAGCTTGGTTGTAGCTAGAATGCCGAACCATGCCCGGTGTCAAAACTCTTTTCCATGGGTTCGAGATCCGCAGGTCCCGCAAGTCTTAATGCGTGGTGGCCCACCAGCGTCCACCCTGGACCCTAAGCCCGAAACTCTTCATTTTGAACCTCGGGAAAAGGAGATGTTGGGCAGAAGCCTCCTGGGTTGAATGGTCAGATTTCGCTGTTTCGTTGTACCTTGTGTCGGCATGGGCCCATACACGCAGGGGCTTCACGCAGATCGGCTGGATGCGTTTTCAGCTTCCTGGGAAGAGCTATCGGTCAGGTCTGCATACATGCAAAAGACTGGAAGACTGGCCCGCGGCAATCGCAGTGGGGGGTAACGGAAACCGATCTCGCACTGTAACGGAAACGTGCGGCCGCGGTAACAGCAACTAGGCGACCAGCGAAACACGAACGACCGCCGAAACAGGAACTGACATCGGAAACCAGCAGGGCAGCAGGAAGTTGAAATTTTATGCTCGCAGAGTGTCGTGGGACCGACAACCGGTGCCCCACGGGCAGGATTGAAGTAGATAGGAATAGATGAAGATATCGATGCATTGGGACGCCCACACACACTTGCCTGTGCTGATGCATGGATACTCAGCGGGCACACATAACCAATCTTGTGCGTGCTTCTCACATACTGGCACAAGCTGGCAGACAGGCAGGCTGACAGTCGTGACAGTGTTTGCATTTGTTGTAGCATCATATGTTCAAAGTGATGCAGGGAAGATTGAATCAATCTTCCCTGCATTGAATTGACTGCAGGTAGTGCATGTGTGTGTGTGTGTATATATATATATGTTTGTCAAGCAGGTGAAGTCCCTAACCCGTTTTCCCATCAAACCTCAACCCGATAAACCAGAAAAAACCTCGAAACCCTAAACCCGATAAATCCTAAACCGCCAATCCCTAAACCACAAACCTAATCCCTCAACCCAACCCTGAACCCTGTGTCCTGTTTTTTCCCCTGGGGCCTAACACTTCGAAACCAGAGGCCCGGGTTCCTGTTACAAGGGGCTGCCATGGAACCACATGGTTTGCGTTACGATCCGGGGGCCTGTTCTTGTTACAAGATCCTGCTACAGTCAGCATGTTCACGTTACGGCAAACCCGGTAAACACCCCCCGCTTGAGCCCCAGCTTAGTACGAGTGCAGGACCGTCAAGGACATGAGTTGACTGCAGCAAGCGTCGCCACTGTGACTTGGTGGCGGGCACTCGGGGCTTGGCCACTGAAGGAAGCCCCTGAAAAGTCAAAGCCCGGATGCTCCTCCTGTGCAAGATGCCGGGAAGGCAGAGTCCGAGAGAAGCGACAAACACACACACACACAGACATGGATATTCCGGTCATAGTCGGTCGTCGGTATTATTTTTCTTTCATTGTCCTATCAACTACGCATCTGAAACTACAGAGCCTGTGGGACCTTTGGTCAACTTGCACAAGACGAGTTGTGTGGATGCAAAACGCAACAACTTCTTCTGGAGGAGCTCAAAGCCATTGACTCTATACATATATATATATATATGTCTTGCTTTCGCCAGGGCTGTGGGTATATATATATATATATATCTTTCTTTTCTTTCTGCAGGGCATAGGGGTCGCACGTTTGCGACCCTCAGGCCATTGGCCCGCCCCCCCACACTTTGTTTTAATGAGTGGGAGGCATTGGGGTCATAATGACTGTGGCAAAAGAGGACGCAGGCTGCAACAGACTTCCAGTAGTAAGCCCCCGACCCCTTACACTACAACCCCAACCCGCATCCCGGCCTCGTCCCCGTGACCCCTATGGGCGTCGATGGGCTTGTGTGGAAGTCAGGTTGCAGAGCCCCCATGCAGAGGAGTTTCGAAACACCAGCAATGACATGACAAACGACCACAGCGTTCCCCCTCTGCTTCGGCTGGGCTTCACTCATGCACTCCTGGGGGCGCCTTGTCAAAAAGGAAACCAACCAGGCATATATATATATATCTCTCTCTCTCTCTCTCTATCTCTTTCTCTCTCTCTTGCTTGCTTACTTGCTTGCTTGCTTGCAGCTTCGAGGGAAAGCACCCGTAGGNNCCCCCCCCCCCCCCCCACGCATGCGGGCAAACAGTAGGTTCTGCCCAAATGGATATCAGGTTCAGCAAGTACAACAACGAAAGCCATGGCAAGGAGGACGTAGGGGTTTATCAAGTTGCAACATCATGGCATTTCAGTTGTTGTCGGGACATGCTCAGCAAGCCTCTGGACGATCCCCCATTTTGGGGGGTTTGCAAGTTCTCTGTACCAGGTCGTTTCTTGGAGTTCCCCGACAGGTAGCAGAGAGAAACTCTGGAGGAAATTCACGAAACGGTACCAAGTGCATTTCTCGCTCTCTCTTTGTCTCGGCGGTGAAACCTTCTGCAGGTACAGAGCTCTGCGTCCATAACTTTTTCCACCAATTCTGCTAGCTTCGTTGGCTGGCATCACAGAATAGGTTGCCAGCCCTGCATTCTGAGTCTGCTTTCATATCATACTGCAGAAAAGCAAAGACACAAAGTAGCTCAACCAGCAAACTCAATCTCCTTTCGACTCAGACATTCCACACACAAATACCCACACACACACACAGAGAGAGACACCCACAGAGACGGACACACACATACACACAGACACCCACACACACGCGCGCGCGAGCACCGAAGGTACGCAAGGTACTCAAGACTGCGAGACACCCATCGCCTGGAATCGTTCAAGCATCAGCTTCTTGTTTATTTCCTGCTCGGAGAACATGTCCAACTGCCCATGACCTCGAAAGCTTTGCAGAGGAAGGCATCTCTTCTTGAACAGAGCTGGCCTTTGAGCGCCGCCGCCCATGTCTCGCCCTGGGAGTGTCTTGATTGCACTCTTACCGCACGCGCACTGAGACAGCGCTGCAAACGTGCCTTGTGGGCTTTCTGCATCTGGATGTGTAGTTCCCCGTCCTTCTATGCTGAGCACGGTTTCATGCCAACTATCTCGGGTGCTCCAGGCCTCAATCATCCAAAACGAGCTGTCGGTTTCAACCTCGGTGACTTGCAAAGCCAATCGTGAGGCGACTTAGAGCCACTCTCGAGCTGAAGTAGGCCCACTACCAAACTAAAGGGCTCCTCGTTCAAGAAAGGCGGGTTGCCCTTGATGCCGACACGCAGGTGCCTCGGCCTGGAATTTTGCCCGACAAGAGCAGACAAAGGAGAAAAATGCGCCTTTTCAAGTCTCGGCCGGCCATGGCCAGCCTAGCTGCACCAAGCAATCGGCAATAAGGCGCTACATGAGCAACAGGAGAAGGGAGCCAAAGGCCGGCCCCTCTCCAATCACCATGTCTTTGCATGGCTATCTCAACCAGCCTTGGGCTGGAAAAGGATGCTCATGCCATCGGAGACTAACCCTCGTCCCTTCGACAGGCCGTCCTCTGGCTCTAAACGACCTGCGGCCGACTCAGAAAGCCTCACAAAAGGCACCGGAGTGAAATCGAACCCCGCACACACCATCAAAACACATGGGGCTCAGGTGTCGCCTGGCCGTAGAGCCAGGCGTCCTGTGCGACGTCCCAGACCGCCCGAAGCAGCGGGCTCTCTGCATCTTTGCCTTCCTGCGACGAAGACATGCTTGGGTTGCGAGCCGAGACCGGACATGACCCCTGGCGCCTTGGAATGTTGCAGCTGCCCCACCGTCGCATGCAGCACACGTAAAGGCAGGAACCTGACATCGCATCTGAATTCGAGCATGATGGATGGTAAGGGCAGCACAGAGAGACTGCCTAGGACCTATCAAGTTTTACCGAGACGCGCCGCATGACACAGCTCGTGCGACAGCTCCAAGCGTGGAGCGAAGCAGGAACAGCGCCAGCCTGCACTCGCACTTGCTCAACTGCACCAGGTTCTGTTCTGTGGCAGCTTAGGCAGGTGCCATCCACCAAGAGCTCACCGCTCTCAGTCAGTGGAGCATAGGCTCCAGGCCAGCCCAGTGTCGTAACACACAGCACCGCTCTCGCTTCTCCCTGGCCATGGGTGAAGTTCTCAGGGTGATAAGGCTATTGTGAGTCATGGCCTCACTGTTTTCCACCAGATCTCCTTCTTTCCTCATTTGCTGGCGCACACGGGTAGCAATTCACTAAAGTGCCGCAAAACATAGTTGTCCAAGGTACACCTCTTTGGCTTTGCACCAACGCCACTCACCGGAAGCATGTACTCTGACCATGTGGTCGCCTGTGAGGGTCAAGTACCGCATCTTCTCGAAGTGCAGGAAGAAATACTTGAACATGCCCTGCTTCAAGCTGTGAACAGCGACCAAGACCAATCACCGTCCACAACACGACAGCACTTGAACGCAAAAGCCTCCGCATCTGAGTGAAGATGTGCAATGACTTTCGACCAGCCACCCGAACATTGCGATAGCTCATGACCGACCTCAGAAGAAACAGAAGCTGCCTTGAAGTGCAAAAGACCGGCTCCGGCCCGGCCTCCACTTGCGAGATCAGGAGCTCCCCGAGCTGCCTCTCCCTCACTTTCGCAAAGGGAGGAAAGCAGCCTTCCTGACACAAGGAGACACGAGACGAGACAAAAAAGGAGACCCGCAAACCCCCCAGATCTGCGTCGGCCTCGGAGAAATGCGACGACACTGCCAGTTTGCACGGCTCTTCGAACTCGGCTCGTCTGTCGCCAAACTTCTTTTCGCATTCCTGAGAGAATCCGATTCGCTCTTGCTGCTTCTTGCAGGCATTGAGGGTCCCTTCCGTAGGCAGCAACCCACTCGCACTCATGAGCAGCATGTGTCCGATTGGTCTCATGTAACTGTGCCTGGACGGTTGCCACAATTGTGTTGGTCATCAGGCTTGCAGGGCTGTGGCTCCGATTTACTACGGGCATGCGGCGGGATCTTAGACGAGCTTTTGCTCATCCGGATGCAGAGGGGCAGAAAGACTGTTGCCTGAACCATTGAAACCATTGCATTTATTGGCACTGCTGCACTGCTTTCTATGTTTGTTTTGGTTCGTCGGTGTGGTACACACACATGCTGTTCTTACGCTCAAAGTAGAGACATCGAGGCGCAGGAAAAGGTTCCACCAACTATGGTGATGTGTCTCTGTCGTGGTCGTCTAGTCTTGGTGGTCCTCGTGGTCCTGGTCGTCGCATGTCGTCGTGGTCGTTTTCGCCGTCGTGGCGGCCGTCTGAGTCGTCGTGGTCCGCGGTCGCCATGATCGTCGTGGTGCTCTATCACTGTCTGGGTAACTGCGCCGGCATAATTTCACTTTTCTCCTGTGTGTGTCATGCCAATCTGGTACAGCAAGGTTAAGATATCAAGGACGAAAAAGTCACATGGGTCACCACCACTTTGAGAACTCCTATTTATGCAAGGGCACCCTGTTGCAGACGGCAAGATCCTGGTCGCAGTTGACCTCCGGACAGCCAGAACACATTCACAAAAATATGAGACGGGCACGAGATGTGAACTTGCAGTCCGGCACAGGCCTCCTGCTCCTTGAGCTCCGGTGCCTTTGGGAAGAACTTGATCGTCGTGTTGAAGAAGGAGCTTGAGGTCCGTGCACTCTTGCCTCCCAGGAGCACTGTCAGCAGCTGCAAAGCTCTCAACAGAGCAGAGCCCTGCCTGCTAAAAAGGCAGCGGCCTCTGCACCACGAAGATCATTGTCAAAGGCAGCAAGAGGAGGGCGAAGCGGCATGGGGCTGGAGGCCCTCACTTTGGCTTCTGATGTTTCTGGTGGCTATCAGAGCCCTGTTCAGGCGTGGCTTCCTTGGCCTTGGCTAGGGGATCAGACTCAGAGTGCAAGCTATGCGCTGTGTAACGCTTGAGCCTGGCACAGAACCGACGTATTTTTCTCCAATAGTGACATCAAGACGAGAAAGCTCGAGCAGGATTCCAGAATGCCAGGTCTCCGACTCAATCTTGATGTCCAGATGATGCCTCAAGTCGGATTTGTTCAAAGTGCTTTCAATACTGTGACCGGAAAGCACGACTGTGGAATGGGCAAGGTGGTCGGGTAGCGCCGGGTTTGCCCGAGTAGCGGGCAGCGCCGAGCATGCCCGGGAAGCGCCGAGTAGTGCTGTTCGTGCCGGGGTAGGTTAGTACCGTGTATGTACAGGTAGTGTGGCACGTAGCCAGCGAGTACGATTTTGGTATCGCCATGTGTACACGCCGAATACGCCAGGCCTCCACGAACATGCCGGGGTCATGCGGCTGGCATGTGCGAGTATGTATTTTGGAATGTAGCTAATGTTTGCTATCATAAGTTACAAGATTCGTAAAAGATGTTATGTGTACCGATATATAAGATGGCTTGTTTTCCCCCACATGGTAGTCGTTGTGGTGGCAGTACCCGGGGCTGCTCTGACGTACTCGGAACTACAACAAGTACGGCCTCTGATGCATTTACTGAGCTCTGCACTTGGTCACGCCAGGCGGGGGCTGGATGTAGACGTGACATTCATCTATGTTCCTGTGGGGGAAATGCAGAAATCGATGTCGAAATGGGAAACAACCTTGCATCGTTGCGGTGGCCTGCAATGCCGCAAACTAAAACAGACCATCAGACCAGCACAAACTTGGACCAAGATGTCGGCTGCTCCCACTCGTAGACAGTGCGCCCGTCGTATACAAACCTCCCAGTGACAATGTTGGGGTCTTGCACAAGCAAGCACAGCATGTGCGCTTGCGACTGGTGACATTGCCTGCGATGTAGAAGTTTTGTGCGGATCCGTTTGCGCAAGGGTGCTTGTGCAGGGAGGGGCTGTCCATTCCACAGCCCCATGCGTACTTACACGTCCGTCCGCTCGCAGGTGGCAGTATGGGTGGGAGTCTGAAATCAGCATATGCAAGGACACAAATGAACATGCTGCCCGACAGACATGTTTTTCACAAGGGGACTACAGCTAGGATTCAACGAGTAAGGCTGCGTCTGCTGACGCCCACGAGCTTTCTCTGTGAGCTTGCGCAGCTCTGGATTGTCCTGCCAACATTGTCCACTGCTACCCACATTGTCACAAGCTGCACGGTGTAGAAGTCACCTCGGAAAACTACAGTGCACATGCGTGCACCATCTGCTTCACATTGCGCAGACAACATGCTCGGTCCTCCTGCATAATTATTGCAGACTGATACCAAGGCTGGTTCACCAGTGATTAGTTGGTCCTTGGCTTAATTTGTACGACGCTCGTTCACTGGCTACTTCTGTTCTGATCACAAATCTGCACATGTCTTCACCTGATTCCGAAAGCTGCGAAACACAAGCGAGCTGCCGTTGACACAACACAGGAAAGGAAATGAGAAATGAGCGAAGCGACATGGCTCTCGGATTTTTTGGCTCCAGAGCGGCGAGTTGCTCTTTGCATGTGGCTGATGGCTGCGGTCATGTTCCCAGCGCCAGGCCTCCAGCGAAAGCAGAAGCGTGTTGTTGCTTGGCTAAGACTGCTTGGACAGGAGAGCTTTCGCCCCCGGCACATAAAGCTTAACAGCTTGGAGGTCGACCAAATCTTCATCGGTCTGGTCCGGTGTGTTGCTTTCACCGTAGAAAAATCGCAGGGACGAATGCACAGAAAGGACAACCGAACCTGTTGCACGAACCCCACGACTAGGGTTTCCCTAGACCTTAAAACCCGAAAGTCGAGCCCCTAAGGCCTGAATACAAAGAAGAAAAAATAAATAAGAATAGCAACAATAGTTTCAATGATAACATTTGCAACAATAGTAGTAACAGGCCAAAGACAAACTATCGCCAAGGATACTGTTTTACGGGGGATGTGACGATGAAGCTGGCACTGGACCAATAGGGGGCCCGGGATCCGCCTATGCCATGGGCCCCGAGGGAGAGACGCCCTTGAAAACTGCAAAACTAAAGCGTAAAATGGTGCGGGACCGTTGATTTGGTAGCCGCACGCTTGTCATGAATTGATATCGCAAATCACAATCGCACCTGGCAAGGAGTTCACACAATGTCACTAGCATCCACATCGTCGGTTGCATGCGGTACTTTCCGAAACGCAAATTGGGAGCCCGCATAACCAGACAATGTCTGGCCAATACCAAATGAAGACCGTTTTCTGAAGCACTTCACGGTAGGAGCTAAGGTTCATGGAGTCATAGCCAGCTTCATTGGCGCATCGGGGAAAGTGCAGTAGTGGCGAGGAGGCAGCCTAGCCGGACACCCTCACGGCCCACGGAAGGAAACTGAGGAATTGAGTGGCCAGTCCGAAGCGGAAAGAAGGCATGAAGAAGGACAGGGCTCACTGCTGTCCGGGGGCGTAGGCCTATCTGCAATTACATGATAATCATATTATAAATATGTGATTATACATACACTTATATAAATAACTAAATATACATACATACATACACACTTGCTTACTCATCTTCGGATAATCTGCTGCTATCAGCACATGCGTACACATTTCTTCGTTTCACTCAGGACCTTTCGTTGCCGTGCATGCCTTCTGCCTCTGGGGCAGAACAGCAGGTCGTGACGAAAGCACAATCTTAGGGTTTGCTCAAGATTGCCTATCAAAGCTGAGCTCGGGCTCGCACGCCCGACTCTCCGATAAGGCGGGTAGCAGGGACTCCTGAAAGGGTCCATGGTGCGCTGCCCAAGCTGCAACGGGCTGCCGATGGCTACACTGAAAGCCCGGTGCTGAGCATGCGGCCACAACCCATCGCTTGGTGCAGACGGGCTCCAGGTACATGAGCGCATCCTGACACGAGCACCCGCGGTACATTGACGGAATGTTCTCTGCGAGAGCAAAACGATTATGTCTGCCGGTCGCCAAATGCCGCGATTGCCGAGCAGAAAGTCATAGAAGGCAAGCTCTTCACGATTACTCAGAAACACCATGGTTCTTTTCAAACAAAGAACTGTCTCCACCTGACTCCAGCCCTTACAAAGGAAAAACACAAGTTTGGCTCTGCACGCTAGCTTCTACGGCTTCTACTGGCTTAACAAAGGCCAACGACTCCACCGACCCTTCTCGAACTCCCTTCTGGGATCGAAAACAAGAACGGTTCATGGCTTTCTGCTGCGAGACCCGTTCGATATGTTCACAGCAATCAAGCGCGAACGATCTATGTGCCCTTGTCAGTTGCTCTACGTACCCTCTGCTTTGGCGCAGGTGATGCGAATGCGGTCTCAGCTGCCTGCCAGTCACAATGACAAAGCGATGTCGCCAGATCTGCAGCATCCAGATTCAGCTCCCGCGAACCTTCATGAGGCCATCTCAGCACGAGGATAGTGGCACTTACGCGCAGCGAGGCTTTGAAACGACACACATGCTACATGTTGCCGTTGCCAGCCTCTCTGCAAAATTGCCGCAAGCAGATCCCATGCCGCCAGCGGCTGCCTGCAGCACAGCCGGTCACTTTGCTTACAGTAGGACATTCGTTCAAAGGCTCCTCTAATCGACGGAACGGACAACTAAAACTACTGGGCATGATCAGCCTCGTCGTCAAACATGAATTGAGGGTGACCTGGCACGAATAGAAGCACGATCAACAGATAATCTAGAACAAGCATGCTAGGATAAAAACGCGGCAGGCTCTAAGACAAGAAGCTGAGCTGCTTCGCTCTAGGCATGAGCCGCTGTGTCGGTATGATGAGCCTCCAGAGTCTCGATGCGAAGCAACATGCCAGTCTCCTCTGCCTCGGATTCCAGGCGCAGTCAGCTCCCGCACCTCCCGGCCCGGCCCGACAGAGTCGCCTGGTGCAACAACGCCAGGGCGAGGCCTCAGAGGCTCCCCGCGCTCCCACAGCTCCCCCTCCTAAAGCCCCACAAGAGGGGAGATCGCGGAAGCTTGTCTATCGCGGTGATCATCAGCAGCTCTCAAAAAAAAAAACGACCCTGCTCCAGGCGGTCTTGAAGCAAGCAGCTTTGGTCTCAGGCTCCAGCTCCAGTGGCCCTGCATGCCAGCACTCGCGATGGCGAGATGGTACCTGGCAACTGCATTCTAACCTCTACAGTACAAGTCTTCGCGAACTAGCACTGTTTGGTTGACCTGCCAACGATATCTCCAGGACTTCTTACAGCTCCGCGACATTGACAGGACTCGCAAGACATGCACGCTCAGATCGTTTTCGTACCGACTAACGCCGGCAGACCGCTCATGCTTAAAAACAGGGCAAGCAGACATTGCTCCGTGGAGTCTTGGGGTACTGTGCAGTTTCCTTCTCCGCGGAAATTCGTTCAATCGCGGCGGCTGCTTTGACCGAGCCATCCTCTTGCTGCAGCTTCGTGCCGATTCGTTGGCAAGCTGCGCTGCAACTTTGTGCTGCCAGCAAGGCTGCCTTGCAGGCCTCAATACTCGGATTTAGTTCCAAAACCCGCGTTCCGAGACCAGCCCTTGCCACGAAGTCTGCATGCGTCACTTGATCAGCGAAAAGTGCTGAGAGCATTGGGCAAACCACACAGGGCGTTCTGCTTCGGAAGCTATGCCACAGAGTCCCTGCACCGCCGTGGCAAACAGTAACACTCACTCGTGGCAGAAGCCAATCGAAGGGCACATACTCTATTTCGAAGACATCCTCCGCCGTAGTCTGTCCATCACAGGGCAGGGCAAAGGCAAAGTCCGTGGTCTCTGCCTGCCCTTCACGCTTCGCGTCATGGCACCAGATCACACTCTTGCCCAGCTGCCTCGCCGCCGCAATGATTACCTGGGTGAGGGAGCCGAAAGTTGATCAAGGTCCCACATCAGTTTGCATGAGGCATGTATGTGACAGAGAGGTGAGGTGAGAGACAAAGTATCACCTTCCGGATGAAGCAGGTCGGTATTTCGAGCAAGCAGGTGGCAGGAGGGGCGACAGATCTGCTGTTCCCTCCGAACATGCTGCCAGCAGGATGAAAGCCTGCCTCGTTCTGGAGATCCCTGTCCAAACTACTCTGTTTCAGTTGACATCGCTGACACGATTCTCTTCTACCACCACAGTTTGGGACCCAGCATTGTTCCCAAAAGCTCACAATGCATATATTACTGCAGTGACTGACATGCACACACACACACACAAGGACACGCACACACGCACAGTGCCTCCGCAAGTCTTCGGGCACCCATGACAGAGCCAAAGGTGACAGCGATGGGCGGGAGCCCAGAAGCATCTTTCTTGGCCACGAATGCAGACAATGCCGCGGTGGGCTGCCATCCCTCGAGGCGAGGAATGAAAACGCAGCCTGTGACTTCAAAGTTGACCGGGAAGTCCAGAGGACGCGGCATGATGCTTTCACTCCACATCCCGAGCTGAGGAAAACTCTGTAGCTTTCGGAAAAAGGAAAACCCATCCGTGTGGTCGACGTTTGGGATTTCGAGAAGACGTTGAGATAGCCCTTGGATGAACTTGGCCTGTGCCACGAATGTATCAAGCGACAGAAGTTGTAGTGTAAGTGCTTCAGCTTGTTGAGGAATCCCCATGAGGCCATCTCGTAGCCACCGGGCGGATAGGCAGAAGTTGGTGGTGAACCAAAGCCGAAGGTAAAAAAGGTCCCGATATAGCTGAGGCCAGGACGTGCCAGCGCAATACGTGCACACGCCTGTGAAAGCGAGGGTTTAGAAAGTGAAACATCAAGAAACCCGGCACAAGGATTAGTTTCCATAGGCAGCCCCAACCTGCGGCAAATAGGTCCAAAGGACCGAGAGAAGAGGCCAGATGCTGCAACTCTTCTGTGTTTCTGTGGCCTATTGCAGCCCCTCGAGACCCAGCGAAGAGATGATTAAGATATAAAACTGTACCCAACGGCTGGGGTCGGAAATCCTGAAATGCGAAAACAAATGCGAGCTAAGAAATGACGGGTACCTATGCTGTGCGCTCCCCGGAAGCACTCAATATCCAGTTGATGCACTGCTAGTGTTTGACTTTTATCACAATCACAGGGTCTTCTACCCATATCAGTAGCAGGCCACAATACTGGTGAGGAAGGTGGACAGAAGGACGTCGATCTTCTCCGAATCCACAAGCGCGGCCACGTCCCTCGCAGCTTCTGGGACGGCATCCTCATGGAAAACATGCAGACAATGTCATTTGCTGTCTCCGGCTATCTGTAATATGGCAGAGAGTCCCAAGGAGCAGCTGACAAGCAGCTGGCATCTTGATAAACACCTCAAAACTTCGCATGTCTGTTACCTTTGCCCTGCCGTCCTCCGTGTTCCAGGTCGGACCATGCTTGTCCAAGACCTTCAGGATCTCAGCCGTGTCGAGCGACCGCATTACCTTCAGCTCCTGCTCCAGGATTCTGACAGAAACGTGTCAATTAAGTGTTGAGCAGAACCGCAGTGCCTCCTCAGACATGATGGCCGAGTCGTCTCGCCAGCGAAAGTGGCTCTGCCCCACAGTAACACATCGAACCCCGTACCTGTGTGCCACAACAGGGAAAGAGCGCATTGTAAGATTGGCAATGAAACAGGCTGGAGGCATGAACTTCCCGATCCAACACACTGCAGCAACAGAAGCGGCGTCCGACAAGCCTGCTGGAAACAAAGACCTGTAGCTAGCAGCTAGCAGTTGAAAAAGCCAAATCTCGAGCTGGCTATAGGGCCTTTTTGGAAGCTGGCGCAAAAATGAGTGGAAAAACGCCAAAAACTCATCACTTGGCCAAGGGGCGCGCGTATCGAGGCCTCGTGCCCCGGAGTCGCTGCAATCGTGGCCTTGTGTCCGCGGCCTTCCAGGACCTTGCAGATGGGAATCGCCGGCATGACATCACCCCGAGAGCCCATGAAGAAGAACAGAACGTTCTTCTTGCCGTTCTCGGCCATGGCGGGGGCGGAAAAAGCCCCGAGAGCCGGGCTGAAGCCCAGTGCAGGCAGCGCTGCAAGCCGGTCCCGTAATGGCGCAGTGGTTGTGTTGCTGCTATTGCTACTCTCCAACTACGTTGACATCTCATCGATCCAACCGTGTCGCAGCGACTGGGTGGGAGATGGTGAAGAAGATGACTCCCAAACATCCTGCAGAGGGCATTCATCAATATGCAGATCAAGGGGCATGGTTGTCGCTGCGGGCTTCTGTGATAGGTTCCAAGTTCCAAGAATATCAGTTCCGCGATGCTTTGCGATTGCAGAAGGACGGATGCCGAGACAACTCGACTGCCCACCACAGAGAAGGGGCACACAACAGGGCTTCCTGCTGAATTACAACACTCCCCGACAACTCGCACGAACTGCAATGTCGGTCACCTTTGCTACTCAACAACCATACTTTCCATTCTCAGCCTGCAGAAGCTGCAAGCATTCTCGCCAGCGTCCGCAACTGGCAAAACCGTGTTGGGGCAGGAGATGAATGGAGGCTGCATCCAAAGCAGATACAGGTTTTGCGGAGTCATGGCAGCTACAAGAGGGAATCTTGGCTTGTCTCTAGCGACACGATGACAGCTCTGTACACACAAGCTCTCTGATGCACTGCAACATCGTCCGGAACTGAGCACCCAACGCTTCACATGCCCGCAAAGCTCCGTTGTAGCTGAAGGCCTTCCATTCATCTAATTATCACGGCATGGCATGGGCATAGAACCTTACATCAACAATCCAAATTCCAAAGGTTGGGGCTTCCCGGCATAGCAAGGCAGAAGTGGCAGAAGTGAATTGGGGAAGTGCCCTGCCATCCACGCGTTTGCTACTTGATGAGATGATAGGTCGCCATGCCTTTGTACGCGCAGAAGCAAGCAATTCACGTTGCTGCTGTGTTCATCAACTTTGTGGTTTCCGGGCTTGTCCGCGGCGACATGCTGGTTGACACTGCTGCAAGTTGGCGCACTCCGATACAGGACTGCCCTCCAGGGTGTGGCTGCATCTGCTGCTTTAGACATTGCATGTTGGCATGGTCACGGTGTTGACGCGGCATGCACGGCCCAGGGAGGCAGAACCGACTGCGATATCATCCCTGCATAACGCATGCTACTTACAGCACATCCATGTGCAGGTGTCGTCTTCCGAAACGACCTTGCCGCACAAACAAAGTATAGTAAACCTAGTTTCTAGTTTTCACGATTCTAGGCTTGGATTCAGACCTCTGATGCTCTGTACCAAACCCCTGACCAGACGGCATTTCATCAAACTTGCTTCCCGACCTATGAAAGCTCAGACGACCCAGCGCATGACTGAAAGGCGGCCTGCAGCTGAATCGAAGGTAAAAATCCGTTGGAGCTGAATTTATGTTCATGGTCTGGACCTTGCTTCTCGTCTGATTTATTGCAAACTGTTTGAATTTGAGTTTATTCATTGAGCCCTTTAAATCCTTTAACCCCGATGAGGCTTCAAACAACTGAATTTGATTTCGGGTTTCAGTGTCGCCGCATTTTGGTAGCAACACTTTCTGAGGTTTTGACAAACTTGTGATGGACTCTACTCTTCGCTTCACAAGCGCAGTGTCTTTGCCGCCGAGCCCAGAAAACACACTTTGCTGCATATTTACTCCACCCCACCTGGGCTTCCAGTCGAAGTGGGTGCAGCAATGCGAGCAATTGTATCGCGAGAGCCCACTGCCTCATGGCAAGCGGCGCACAATGCCTATCTTGAATAAGTCGGAATAAGGAAGTTCTTGCGTTGATACGGGCAGGATTATGAACAGTGGCTACAAGGAGGCAGCAGTCTCCCGCAGCTGGGTTCGCTATTCGAGGCGATGAGGAATTCCACAAGTTGAGACGATTCCTTCAGCCATGAGCTGGGTCTCGACAAGCCCTGCTTCCTAGGCATTGCTCGTTCCAGTGCTGGCTTGAAGCCTCTGATCAGGCCCTAAGCAGCATCAGAAACTTCTGAAGTGATTGCGACTGGCACATCTCTATCCATGCACTGTTGGGCTTGCGGGGACATCAGCACCATGCAGTTTTCGAGGCATCGGCTCACCACACGCAGCTGCCTCTAAAGCACCATTCAACGACCACTGGTCAGGACCTGAGAAACGAGCCACACCTTGTTAACTGCCAGCTCGTGCCTCGTCTCTTCTGGGCTCCTTGCTCATGGCATAGTCTTTCATCGTTTTGAATGTCATCCTGGCAAGATAAACGCAGCACTGCCCGATCAAACAAGACACATCCGACCCCTCAATGATTCGAACGACCGTCTGGACTTGATTCAAACCGCAGCACAGACCAAAGAGAGAGAGAGAGGGAGAGAGAGAGAGAGAGCGGGAGAAAGAAAGAAAGAGAGAAAGAAAAAAGAAAGAGAGAAAGAAATAGAGAGAGAGAGAGAGAGACAGACAGACAGACAGACAGACAGACAGACAGACAGACAGAGACAGAGAGAGAGAGAGAGAGAGAGAGAGAGAGAGAGCGAGAGACAGAGAGAAAGAGA